GCAGATTGGGCTTCTTGTCTTGATGATCGTAAGAGTACTGGTGGTTACTGCGTTTATCTTGGTTACTGTCTTATTTCTTGGTCCTCCTCTAAACAAAAAGTGGTATCTCGCTCTAGTACTGAGTCCGAATATCGGGCTCTTGCCAATGCTACTGCTGAAATCAGTTGGCTTGAGTCTCTTCTCCATGAGCTGCACATTATTCAAGCTTCTGTTCTCACTATTTTTTGTGATAATCTTAGCACAACATATCTTGCAACTAATCCCATTATGCATGCACAGACTAAACATGTTGAAGTTGACCATCACTTTGTTCGTGATCGTGTGGTCAATGGTTCCTTATTGGTGTAGCACGTTCCCTCCCCTAACCAGATTGCTGATGTGTTTACGTAACCTCATCCTTAAAAAGAGTTTCTAGCTTTTCGTTCCAAGCTCACTGTCCTCGTTCGGCCTGTGCAATTGCGGGGGGGATGATAAGATGGGTTAAATGGGCGTTGTTAGAATTATTTTTGGGCTTTATTCGTATGGGCTTAGTAATCAATTTATTTATCCTTAATATATGTTCTGCAGCCTTTATATAAAAAGGCATATTATGCATTTTTCAATTAATCATAAACGACAATACATTTTATCAGTAATAACAAATTCTTGTTTTCTCCATCTTCTTCTTCTTCTTCCTTCTTCCTTCTTCTAGAAACCTGTTCAATAATTACTCATTAAATATAAAAATTTAATAGGGTGGTATGCCAACGAACACAAAGACGACATTTTTCTTTTTTCTCTCTTAACCTTTTACCTAATGTTTTGTTTTGTTTTCTGATCCATCGCTATATTGATTGATCACTTCCCATTAATTTCAGTCGCTATTGTTTTAGAGTGTAAACTAGCAAAATTGTATCGAGACATTCATTAAGTAATAACTTGAACAAACGCTTCCTTTCCTAGCTAGGCTTAAATGATCAAGATGTGACAGGTTTAGCATCATGAACATATCTGGCTGATTTGAGTAGTAGTTTCTTTTGCAGGACGTGGACATTTGTGAATATTAATTATCGGACAACCGTTGACAGTTCGGGTCGCGACTGACTATACCCACCAACCTGCTATTGCATTAATCAGACAATCATAATAATAAATTACGTGTTGGACATTATAGGTTAATTATTTGAGTTTCTCTGCCTATTACTATTTCTTACGATCTTTCAGTGTCTTATTGTGATTTTCACAAGTTTGATACTTATATCATCTATACTATCGTGTGTGATAATGATGATATAACGCAATTTGTTTTCTGGTAGTGCATATATGTCTGATAAATATGTCATCAATTTTTTTTTTTTTTTATTTTGTTGTTCGATCCATCTTTTGGCCTGACTCGCTCGTACGATTCTCATGTGTAAATTAGGTTTTTTTTTTTTTTTAATTACAAACAGCACTTCTCTGCAAAGTGGTATTTCTCTGGCTAATTTTCCCTCCAAACTTGCCGACCCATGATAGATAAACCAATGATTGTTCAAGTTAGGTTGTGTATTCAAGCAAAAAGTTAGGTTGTGTATTAGTTATAGAATTTAGAATTAGTTTAGTTCGTTAATTTAAGTTGAGATGTGACTTTATGTTAATAAAAAAATTAAATGTGATTATTTTTAAGAATTTTTTACTGTAATAAAACTTAAATTTTAAACTCGAATCGGTGAAACGTGAAATGAACAGGAAGTTAATTATCAACTCTGTAAGAAGCGTATTTCTCTGGTTCACCCTAATGACTTGGACCAGTATCATTTGGAGCCCAATTACATTGTTGCCGAAGGCCCAATAAGTCAAACGAAACTAGAGCTCTTGAGTCTTCGCCGTGCATGTGATGTGTAGTTGGAGCAAATAGTATTTCTGGTTTTTTTCCCCCTTTTTTCTTTGTTAGTTTTTTTTACTTATTATATGTTTTCAACCGATTACAAAATTATATTATTAACCATACAAAATCCTGTACAGTTATATGTGTCAATATTTAACTAGTTAAAAATACTAGTAATGATCATCATCATTACTATTGGCAATAACTATAAATTTTTTTTTTCTTAAACATTTTTGGCGATGACAAAGCAGAGAGTACTATCTTGTTTCACACGTCTATTCGTTAATTTTATTTGTTTAAAGAGGGGGATATATATAAGATCTGCTTCCATAATCTAAACATGGCAGATTAGAGTCAGAGATAAATGATCACTATTTAATTTGTGGAATAAGTAACCAAGCATGTAATACTAAACGTACTCATTTCTTTGTGAAATTTAGGAGCATTATGTTATTTTAGTCCTCATACTTTTTTTCTACTGTCAGAATAACTTTGATTTTCTAACGATTTTAGGGGTAGTAATTTGTTGTTACCCCGTTCTTTTCGCTAATTCGAGTTTTGTTACAGTAAAAAGCTCTCAGAAACAGTCACATCTAACTTTTTTGTTATAGTAAAAAGCTCTCACACAACATCACATCTCAACTCGAATTAAAAACTCAAATTAACGAACCGAACGGACCTAACTAGTAATATTTTGCTACGTCATAGCTATAGTATAGCCGGGGACATTAGATTAATAATTTGCTATTTTGAACTACAATAAACTCCTATATCACAATGTGGTTCAAATTTTACTTTTTATTCTATAGTATAAGTTCAAATTTTATATTTTATTCTCTAGTATAGTTTATAGCGTGAAAAAAAAATGAGACTTGCATGACAACACCGACACTCTAGCTCAATGCATGACAAAGTTTTTCTAATCTTTTAAGGGACATTTATTTCTTGTATTCGTCTTTGATTTTGAATCATAATTCATAGTTCTCTACAGTGTTTTTCTCATAAAAAACACATCTAAAACGAGAATAGTTTTGAATCATTATTCTGAATCTATAAACCAAACGGCTACTTAAGGGCCCATTTGAGATAATTTGTGCTTGTATTTTTAAGTAGTAGAAGAAGATAAACATAAGTTGCAGCTTTTTGATTAGTGTTTAGATGATGCCTGAAAAATTATTTTTATATCTAAAAAGAGCTTTTGAACCTGTTTAGATAAAAAAGTTAAAAACACTTATTGTTATAAAAAGTAATATAATAAAAGAATATGGTGGGATATTTAATTTGTTGTTGACAAATAAAAGATTAAAAATGTAAATAAAAAAGTTTTTCATAAGCATTTTTTCATAAATACTAAAGAGATGACTTGATTTAAAAGTATAAAAAAATTAAAAACATTTTAAAGACTCGTTCATTTCACCGATTTGAGTTTAGAATTCGAATTTTACTACAGTAAAAAACTTTCAAAAACAGTCACATCTAACTTTTTTACTACAGTAAAAAACTCTTACATAAAGTCACATCTCAACTTGAATCAGCGAACTAAATGGGTCATAAAATTATCCATCCAAATAAATTTAAAAATGATTTTTAAATAAATAAGTCAAAAACAGGTTTTTTTTTAAAAAGCTAATCCAAAAGGCCTTACGAAAAGCAAGCGCCTTTATAAGCCCTTTACACACGTGAATGCCTTGAAATATTGTTCCAAAGTAATGACAAATTGTGACATTGACACTCCTCGAACCCTATCAGTTTGTGGATCGCAACATTATCATTCTATTGTTAACTTGCAATCATAACAGCACGAAAACCATAAAAGTTCTTTGTTTTTTTAATATAATAAGTAAGATCGTGACAGAAAGGAAAAAAAGAAATCCACATTTCTACTCAGGGAATGGAGAATTGTGCATTATAGTAAGTAAAAAAATATTTTGCTGGTGAGCACGGTTTAGATTTTAATAATTATGAGCTGATGTCAAAAGTATATCAGATTAAACTATAAACTACATGAAAATCAATAATTCCAATTCCCAACTGTACTCTATCAATAACATATCAAGAAGCTCTCTTATACGATTCCACGCCTACTATACATGTTTAATGTGGAGAGTTTTAGGCCCCGTTCATTTCGCTCATTCGAGTTTAAAATTTGAGTTTTGTTACAGTAAAAAGCTCTAAAAAACAATCACATTTAACTTTTTTACTACAGTAAAAAGTTTTCACGCAACATCACATCTTAACTCGAATTAAAAACTCGAATTAGCAAACCGAACGAGCCCTTATATGACAAGAATCACATAAAATAGTCCAAATTTCTAAAAAAAAAAAAAAAATCTGAAAAAAATCTTGACAGAATCTCCCACATTGACATTATCTTGCATAGATGTTAACCTCATAGAAACGTGCTATTCTTTAGTATATGCGTTCAAAGAGATGATAAACTTTGGAAACCAGAATACCAGAACCGGACGGTCGTTTAAGATGGAAAAAGGCAAGCCAACCCGTGAATAATTGCCACCACAATGCAACAACGACAAAATAAAAAATGAGAACCAAAAGAACTTTCCAATCGAGTGTTGATTTGCTCACTACCACGTCTCTTCCTATCCTTACACACACACACACACACCCACATATATGTATGTATATATAAAGAATATACATTATTCCTCTGCCCTACCTGGCCTACGGCCTTGTACCCTTAAAAAAAAATTTAAAAAAAAAACTTACACTTTTTTGGTCTAATTAAGGGGGAAAAAAAAAGATAATGTACAATATTCTATGGTTAGGTATTTACTAAAGATTTTTAAAATTGCATTTTCTTAATTTTAATATAATTTTAATGTATAACATTATGAATATGCTATACCATTGAGAGTATCCCTAAGATCAAAGTTCTCAAAAATCTCACTCCGTTTTTCTATTCTAAGACATTAGCCACAGTACCACATGACTCTAATTTAATCATAAAATAAAACAAAAGAAGACACCAAGGCGGTATATTGGGAATCAACATTCAGCCTTATAGTACGTAAGGTGGTGACATTTGACACTACATGATTGAGCTAAAATCATTACACAAAAGAGCTTTGCTCTCAGTATTTATATATAGGCATAATAGAGAAACAATTAAATCACAGTACTGGCTATTGACATTATGGCCAATTCTTGGTGTTGTTGTTGGTGGCTAATCACACTCTTTTCACTAATAATGTTCCTCCACTTCGGCGTCAACACGTTCACCGACTCCGAATGGGGATCCGGGCACGAAAACCCGGCCATATTCAACCCGGTGGGCCTCGCCGCCAACCAATGGGTGGACACTGCCGTAGAAGCCGGGATATCGTTGGTAATCCTCACGGCAAAGCACCATGATGGCTTCTGCTTGTGGCCTTCCAAGTACACTGATCATTCGGTCGTAAGAAGCCCTTGGAAGAATGGCCACGGTGATGTCGTCCGAGAGCTCGCCGACGCGGCTAAGGCCCGCGGCGTCGACGTCGGGCTTTACCTCTCGCCGTGGGATCGGCATGATAGAAGATATGGCCATGACTTGCCTTACAATGAGTACTACTTGGCTCAACTACAAGAGCTTCTCAAAAAGTAAGGGCCTAAAAAAATGTTTTGCGTAAGAAATTTACCTTGCTTGGTATTTTAGTTGCATTTTCTTTAAGAAGATGTCTATTATTTAATGAGCTTTGTATAAGGTGACTGATTTGCATGAGGTGTGGTTTGGTTTTTTGAAATATTTTAAATGTTTTATGTAAGAAATTTACCTTGCTTGGTATTTTAGTTGCATTTTCTTTAAGAAGATGTCTATTATTTATTGAACTTTTTATAAGGTGACTGATTTGCATGAGGTGTGGTTTGGTTTTTTGAAATATTTGGTAGATATGGGAGTGTCAGCGAAATTTGGTTTGATGGAGCAAAGGGTGCAAATGCAACAAACATGACATATTATTTCACAGAATGGTTCTCTATGGTTAAGGAGTTTCAAAGCTCCATCAATATATTTTCCGACGCTGGTCCGGATGTCCGGTGGGTCGGAAATGAGGCTGGGTCCGCCGGAAGAACGTGTTGGTCCACCATTAATCGAAGCTCACTCGCAATCGGAAGTACAAGCACCATGGAGTAAGCATAATTCTGTATTTGCACTCTTCACATTGAATAATTGGGTTGTGGCGTACAAAAATAAATTCATTATTGCTCAATTTGTTTCTTTAAAAAAAGAATAACGGGATTTTTTTTTTTTTTTTTTTGTTGAAAAGGATTCATACAGAAAATAATAGAATTTTTCATATAGAGAATTAGAAACCACACAACAGAGTATGGAAAGAAAAAAAAAAAAAAAAAAAAAAAAAAAAAAACAGTTATCAGATTACATTAAACGACAAGGCGCATAACAATTTAATGAAAATTTTAAAATCATATTTACAAATAGTTTTTTTTCCCTAATCCCACAAGAGATTTTTTTTTAATTTACATATTAAAAAAAAATATATTGAGTAAAGAAGTCAGGGGTTGGCACTGAATTTGACACCAAAAGAAAAAAAAAGTGTCTCAAACTTTTGGATGACTCTTAGCTGTATAGCACTTCGAAATTGAAAAAAAGGCCAAAAATATATTGCCTTTATATGCATACACACACGTGGATAAGCTGCCATCCCAACTTCCAATATCACCTTAAACTTATGAACAGCCTACCTCTATCCGAAAGGGGTCACAACCCTAACCCCGCTACTCATAAAAAGTAAATCTTGTTAAATAAATAGATAAAATTTAATTAATAAGACTCGTTATTTTATGAGTGATGAGATTTATTCTCGAGATGAATATTATTTTTCTAAATTAATATACTTAGGAGACGTTTATTTTTTATATTCGTTTATGATTCTGAATTATTATTCATGATTTTTTACAGTATTTTCTTTCACAAAAAATACACATAAAATGAGAATGATTCTGAATCATGATTCTGAATACATAAACCAATCATACTCTTACTTTTTCAATAATGTTGCAGTTATCTCGGCACCGGTGATCCGAAAGGGAAAGATTGGCTGCCACCGGAATGTGACGTTTCAATAAGACCTGGATGGTTTTGGCACAAATCACAGTCTCCAAAGACGCTAAGCCAAATACTTGAGATTTACTATAACTCAGTCGGAAGAAACTGTGTTTTACTACTTAATGTACCTCCCAACAAAACGGGGCTTATATCCCAAGAGGATGTTCAAAGACTTAAGGAATTTAGAAGCGCAATTGACACAATATTCTCTACTAATTTAGCACAAAATTGTTTGATCAAGGCTAGTAGCACAAGGGGTGGACAACAAGGTGGCTTTGGACCAGAAAATGTGCTTGACAATGACCATTTGTGGACTTATTGGGCTCCTAAAGATGGTGACAACGGGGACCATTGGATAGAGCTTAGGGGAGGAGATGAAGGGCTGAGATTCAATGTTGTAAGGATTCAAGAGGCGATTGGTCTTGGCCAGAGGATCAAACGACACGAGATTTACGTGGATGGTAACATGGTGGTGAACGAAACGACGGTGGGGTATAAGAGAATCCATAGGCTTGATGAGGGATTAGTCCATGGTCGAATTGTGAGAATATTGATTAAAAAGTCTAGAGGAGTGCCTTTGATCTCTTCCGTTGGTTTGCATTTTGACCCTTTTTGGCATCCGGATAAAAGATATACAAAAAGCCAAGGCATCTAGCGATTTTATTTAATAAGGAGGAAAAAGACCACAGAGAAATCATGCATTTTTCATATCACGTGCTTAGATAGTAATTGAAATAATCTCTATTTATAGCATTATCTGGATTTTTTTTTTCTGTTACTCCCTTCTATTTGTCTCTTTCTGGTTCTTTTCCGCCTCCATCTGAGATGTTCTTGTATACCATATAAATGGAGAGTTATTTATTGATATGTGTGAAAATATACTGTTTAGATAGGACACATGTCTAAACTATCAAAACTTCGTCAAATTGTGTTTATTTTTCATACTTTCTTTGATTGACAGTTCAATATCGTATCTTACTAACAAAGTATTGTTGTCATACCATATAGAATTCTCTCAATAAACGCTTAACAAAAATAGTATAGTGCTGTTGAAACAACAACCCACTTTGAAAATGAATGTCCAGCTTTCAAAATCTTATCAATATTTTTATACCAACACTTTCACACGAGCTCTTGGGGATCTAATAGCTGGTAGTATCTGTTGAAATGCAACAATACTTTTGCTTGCCCATGTGGTTCATTGCTAATTGTTATGTCCTAATAAAATGTAGCATACATCTGTCGCGAAATTGACCAGCCAGAGAGAAAAAAGTAGAGGAATCAAACACAAATACAGATGAACAACCGAAGTTGTGCTTGAAATGAATTATCATTCTTTCTGTTCCCACGTGATGTACAATCTCTATTATTCAAGTGATATCACCTGGAATGTCTCAATTATAAATTAGTGATAATACTATGTTGACATTGGATTGTTGAAGGAAGAGGAAGTGACCTCAAACATAACTCTAGTTTGTTTGCTAAAAGAAGTATTAAAAAACAAATACTAATCTCTTCAAAAGATAGATGAAGATTATTGTTAGGTCTGTTTTTGTCGCTGGTGTCACAGAGAGTGTTATAACACTTTTCTGTAACACTGTTTTTAACAGTAAATCTGAAATTAAACCAGTAAAGCAGCAATGCAGGAAAATAGTGCACAAACGTAAAGGACACCAAAAAAATGATATCGCAGTTCAGTGCGCACACCTACTCTGCGGGGCCAGCCCAGACAGTGATCAATTCACTAAGTTCAAAAGATTACAAAGGACCGAACGGTCTTACACACTCAACGACTCCCTCCTTGACGATGTTGACGTTGCTAGAATCTCTTTAGAAAGCTTGATCAGCGAGCACCACTCGACTTGACGGTTTCCTCCCGAAACCAAAGAAATCTTCTCCCGAAGAACCAATTCAAAAGTGTTCTCACAATCCGTCGCAACACATCAAGTGACTCTTAACATTACAATCTCATACTCACATGAACACACGCAGCTTTTTCATTTTCAACACTCTTTTTTACACAGAATACATTCAGCCAAATCCAATCAAAACTCACACCATTGCTGCCATTCAATCTAATACAAAAAAAAAAAAAAAAAAAAAAAAAAAAAAAAAACCCTCCAGCCTAAAGAATTTCCAGCCATTTCAATCTCAGCAATCAACTCTTCTGATTTTCAGCCCTTAAACCAGACAATCAGACTTTCCTTAAAAGGCTCACCTATTTGTTGTGCCAGCCAAGCTTCCAGCCAATTTGCAACCAATTTGCCAAATATAGTTTTCAACCAATTTGTCAAAAATAAGCCAATACAAAAATGCACTAACAATTATCATTCAAAAAAAAAAATGCGGTAAGATTGGACATAAATGTTAGAATCTCATGTTTAACTTTGGAAAATGATAACATATAAGGGTGTCTGAACTTTAACATTTAAAAAACCCAGCTTTCTATAATCGATTTTTGGGATTCGGTATTCAAGTTAAAGGCTAAGCTAGCATAACGCGAATCAGCTGTCTCATATCATGATCCATGCAATTAATTACACTCATGTTTTGGTAAATTCTAGACTTATCATGGCCAACACAAACAGAGTAGCTTTCAAGGTTAATTTTTGACTCCTAAGGTTTCTGACTTGACATGGCTGATGCACAACACTAACACAGCCAATCCTAGTGAACCGATCCACACAAAGACTGGCAACCCGAGTAAACAAGCACACACCAAAAACACAGAAACCAATCTCAATCTTGAGATAGAAGCAATGTCATAAATTCGCCCAAAGAATCCACTCACCCAAAGATCTATAGAAGCAATCTCAATCTATATTGCAAATGGTCTATAGAAGCAATATCATAAATTCGCCCAAAGAATCCATTCCATAGCCTTTTCACAAACACTTTGTGAGCAATAGAACTAATACACTAAGACAAACACAGAAACAAGAAGAAAACTTTCAGAGAAGAAAATCACAGCAGACGAATGAATCAACAGTTAACAAGAGATTCTCATTAACCCATCAAAGCTACAAATTACCCTCTCAGATAAACTCTCATAACCGAGTATATGTCAATCCATCTCCTAAACCGTACTAGTGAGACTATTTGTAATACAGAATAAAAGGCTAGGAAAAAAAAAAAAAAAAAAAACTAGAAAATGCATAGTTAGTAATTTGCATAACCAACGAACCGCCTAACAGTAAAATCCCTACAGTTTTGCCATCTCTGCTTGATTATATCAGATCATCTTTTAACACCACTGAAGGAAAGGGTCGATCTTATGTCCAGCTTTGACATCCTCGTATATTGCTTGGGCTTGTTTCATGGCCTCAGAGTTAGCCAGCAATTCGGCTCGCTCCTTCCCTCTGGAGAAACATCCGGAATCTGCAGTAATGTCGTTGCTTGAGCTCTGAGCTTGACATTTCAAATCTTTAGTGATGTTGCATTGAGCTTGCTCTTCTCCAGAATCCGTCGTGATGTTGGATGACCTCTTGAACACCTTCCGCAACCACACTCGAGGATCCCACGACATCGAATTCTAGTACATTGATATAGAAACCAACAATCTAAGAAAACCATGCTAGAAACCTGAAACAACTATTTCATGAAGTTATGGTGACAGAACCGAAACCAACCAAAAACCGCCGGAGAAGAGTCTGTCAGTTTCGGTTCAGTCGGTCAAATGCAGAAAAGAAAATACATAACAGCAATACAACAATGCGGCACAGTTTTCTTCATTTTTTTCTTAACACTCAAGACAGAAACAATATGACAAATCTATACAACAGTAAACAACGAATCTGAAAATTGTGTATCTTAACACTCCAGAATCCGCAGTGTTTGTCACACATGTATGATATTTTGTTGCTTGCACTCTCAAACTTGGATGATGTGAAAATTTCTATACAATAATAGGTGAATGCAAATGTTTGCAAATTCAAACAACCAGCATGCGACAAACTAAAGAGTATGACCTCGAGGATTTGAACCAAGTACCATACAAATATATTTACCATTCACCCAAAAAAAAGAAGAAAAAAAGCAGCTTAAAGTGATAAGAACTGGACCAAAACGTTAGTTTTCTCTTTTACCCCTTTATTTATTTTATAACACTTCTTTCTTACCTGGAAGGCTGTGAATTTGAAAGGGCTTTCTGGGTGGAAAAGGCCATTTTCATTGAACCATCTCTCTTGTTGGAATTCTTCCGCGTCGTCGCCCCATAAAAACTTTATCCTGCCCGTGGCATAAGGCAGGTACGCCACACCATCTCCTATCCTCAGGCTGAATCCATCTGGTAAGGTATCATCAGAATAACATATCTTCCCATCCTACAAAAGCACCACAAATAACTAGTTCAGTGAGGCTGAGCCTGGGCGTCTCAGCCAAAGCTGCAAGAAATATTGCATTTTGTCAAGGGCTTCTTCCGTGAAGATGGCTGCGAGTTCATCGATCCTACAACTCTCTTTCCAAGTTTAGTTCTTCTCTCCTTTCCTGTGCAACCTTTTCTTGCATGATCGGATGCTTGCAGAGCACGTAAAAATGTCCTTTATAAAACTCAGAATCATGTCCTTTATGTACTTCACATCTTTCTCTCCCAATTTGACAAGTCTAGACAAATGTCTCCTTTCTTCCCCTATCATTTATATATCCTTATTATCATCAATAGTCCATAAATAAGGACATTTCTGTCACAATTTTGAGCATAAAGCTTTTTTTAATAGAAAAATAAGCAACTTTTCTTAGTTTTACACACTACTCAATTACATTATTGAGAATCCACTACATCATGTTAAGTGTTTTCAGTCATGCTAATTTTTATATTGACAGGTAAGATTGTATATATGCGTTACATCAAACAATTGCATCTCTATTTTAAGTGTCAACTACTCAGAGGCACATCTTGATCTTGTGAGCTGTGGACTTCTTCAATCGTGCTTCGATTACTTTGTAAACGAACTCATCTACCAGTTTGATGTTCTTCCTCAGAACTGCTTCAGAGCCGATGTTTAGGAACCTTTTGATCTTCCAAAAGGCACCAACATAGCAATACAGGGTAAGAGCACTTGCTTTATCAAAAGCATTAGAAAATCTAGCCGCTTATTCATCAGTTCCTCCAGTTCCAAACAAAGAATAATCTTAAAAATTGCCTCCAATGTTGATTTCATAAACAGATCCTAACCACAAAACAGGAAGTGTAAAACAACAGTAAATGAACAAAAAAAAATTGACAAAATTCATGGACTTGCTTTGATATATATTACTTGGCTTGAGATTGCAGCCTCGGACACTATCCGAGCCAGTTTGATCGAATTACTCTTAACGCAAAAGCGCTGAAATCTCTCAATATCTTTGTTGAGAATTGATAGCCAGATATCTTCCGTTGATGTTTCCATTTTTCTCCATCGACAGTGAAGAACTCATCTCCCGAAAGATCTGACAAAAACGTTGTAATGGTACCACGCCTACAATGAAGACACGACACAGTTTCCGAATATTCAATTTGCTTAACCAACTCAAAATTCGCTTTCAAATGGACTCCATACCTTCAGTTCCTAAAAATTGTGGCTTGACATGAAAGTGTACCTGCACAACCTTGCCATAGAATGTACTCAACATTTGGCTTTGCAGGGTCTGAAGTCTTAACTTCCCTGCTGAATAAATTAAGCAATGTATAACTCGTGTGCTTGGTTGAAGCCTGTGGAAATTGATCAGTTGGTAACTTGGTTTGATATTCTGCCTGCTATAGTATTTATTGGTCATGTTTTCTGGATCTTTTTCGCTCTCCATCAAAAACCTTAACAATACGTCTTCTTCTCCACTCTGGTCACAGAAACACATCAATTAATCCATAAGGCTAAGAAAAAGGCAACTTAATGAGAAAGAGAAAATGTTCTTATATAAAGCTTTTCATTTCTCATCTGCTCTCTCTAGCGTCTGATCCACTTGAATAATTAGTCGTCGATGTTATGAGGTTTTGCTTCAAGAGAGGGCTCCAAGACAATTTAAAGAAACCTTTTTTTTTTTTCCAATTTTCCATGACAAATCGAACACAATAACGTTGGAATCGTCAAAGGCCTTAGTGAATCGTTTTCCAAACTCATCTAAGCCATTTAGATTATTCAGATCCACACCAAATCGGATCTTGATTCTTGAATCTAGAGTTGACTTCATCAACATAGCCTGCCAGAAGGAAGTAAAATGAAGGAAAAAAAAAAAAAAAACAGTTTAACCATTTTCAACTAGAAAATTTTCTAAAGCTCACCATGGAAAAAAAAATAAATAAATAAAAAATCCTGATAAGTAATTTAACGGGTCAATATGGACAGATTTGTTTGGTTCAAAGATTCGTGTCATAATTTGAATCATGGTTCGTGACTCATTATAATATTTTTTTTCATAAAAAGTACACGTAAATCAAAAATAATTTTAAATCATGATTCTGAATCTATCAACCAAACGTCCTAAATGTACAACACAATTAAGCATGTGGCTGGCATAGCATTGCACGTAATGCCGTATGTCAATGTATTAAGTTGGGTCGATAGGTTAGGAGGTGTGGATCGTATAGGTTAGAACGTGTGGATTGGTCCTGCATAACAGTCGTTTTTAAGTCTTTTTTTAGTAAATAAGATTTAATACATTAAGAAAATGATCACTTTTAGAAATTATTAAGAAAATCTAAAAAATTATCCACGGCGTTTTTTCTTTCTAAAAAGTAAAAAAGAAAAAATAACCCTTTAATTGATCAACATTTTTGAAATATAAAAAATAACCTCAATAAGTAATATTTATATATTATTTTAGACATTAATTATGTAAAACTTTTAAAATATAAGTTTTAAAACTAAATCAAGAAAACAAAAGAGACAACGTGTTTGAATCACCGGATAGTAGTGTTAACTGTAAGGATGGGATTGACTGGCAAGTTCAAATCCACTAGTTGCATATCAATGATTAGGGTGTAAGATTTTATGTGGAGCTAGATCAATTTGATCGGTTAAGTTTTGAATTTTTTTTCAAAAACGTAAAATTTATTTTATTGAAAATTTTACCCTTTCTTCTTTAAATTTAGTTTCTTAGTTATTAGTTTTTAAAATAATGTTCAAATATTGATTATTAAAGTTATTTATGTCGTTTTTAACAATTTGATTACTTATAACGGTTATATTTTACTTCTTTTGAAAAACTTAGGGTATAATTTTTTGATAATTTAAAAATATAAGGGATATTATTTTTATTATCAAAAACACAAGAGTAAATGTTGGATATATCTAAAAGGGGTACTTTTTGAATTTTTCTCGAAATCATTAATTCATAATTGACTTATTTATAGTGTATCACTAATTAACTTAGTTGTTTATTATCGATTGACTCAGTAGTTTATTACGAATAAACCAATATGATTTAATAATTACATGATATTAATCAATAACTTACCCATCTATCATTTATAAATCATTGGCAAATAGTATTGTTAAAAATATACTGCTTAGCATTTGGAAGCTGTGATCGTTTTTAGGGACTTTTCTGATCACATATAGCAAAATTTTACAAGTGATGTTGAAATGTAGAAAAAAAATCAGAATATATAGCTAAAATTAATATCATTAGAATAATTTCTATCTTTTATTATTTAAATATGCATATAAGTAACTAGTGAAAATTATTTGAATACGCCATACTCTACACTAACTCTTTTTCGGAAAAAAAAAAAAAAAAAAAAAAAAAAAACTTTACTTTAGACTTGGGGTTTGACAAGAGTAAAAAGTAGTGAAATCTAACACAGTAAAGTTGGTTTTATAAGTTTTATTCAGTTAATAATTCTACTAAAAAGTTCTTAATCATCTTTCTGAAGAGTATTTCCAATCTAACAGATGATATGGTTTGGTGATTGATACTTATGACACGAATGAAACCCACTTAATTAAAAATGTATTCCCTTATAAGAGATTCCCAATGACACTCAAAAACTCGTAGAGATCAACAACAATGTGTTCCCTTTAACATGATCACTTAGTCACTTACCATAAAGTTTTTAACGTGGCATGTATAGGCTGAGAGATTAATCTAAGCCGAAACAGTCACAGGGCAACTCTCCTTTGGCAGGTCTGCAGATTACTAATCGCCAAATACCTGTATAAATACAGACCTGCCAAGAAAGAGAAGCCCTACAACTGATTTGCTTAAAGAACCTGCTTTTTCTTCTTCTCTTCAAATTATGCTTCTGAGTTCGCAGGCAAACACATTACATTACCATGGTTTATATACACTGAAACGATGGAATAAACCCCGGAAGCAATGGCATATGCTTGAGGGTTATGCTATGGATAGTTTACTTTTCTTTTTTTTTTTCCTTAGTGGGGGGAGGGGGTCATTCCATATCCGAGCCATGAAAATCTCCTTTTCAAGGATACCAAGATTTTCGCTTGTCTTGTAGGTGAGAAGGGGAAAAAAGGAGCTGAAAATGAGAATCAGGAGATTCTCCATTTAGTCAGGATAAGTGAGAAAAAGGGGCCTTGTAAATGGCATATCCTGGTTTTAGATTCCAGTCATTTCTTTGGCTTTATATGTACTTGGCTTACGATGAGCCAATCCTTTGCAATATTGCCTTTGGGATACAAATTTGATTCACATTTTTGACACATAGCAAACATTAATCAGATTAGTTTTGGCCTCTTATTTAGTATAACACTTGCACTTGAACTTCATTTACGTTTAGTTATCATTGTTAGTGTTTCTAGGTAGATAACGATTATCTTCATCATCGATGTCCTTGCGTCAAAGCTAAATTATGAGCATTTTATTTGGAAAAGAAAATTTTTTTGGTTCATTTTCTAAGAGGTGACATGAATTTTGTTAGTAATTAAAGCTCTAATTTATATGATTAGATAGCAATAAAAAACGAGAAGAGCAAAAAGAAATAAACGAGCATAAACAAGGATTTTATAATAGTGGTTTACTCTGATTGTGAGACTTATGTCCACTTGTCACCATAGAATATCAATATAGTTGGAAGAAGTAAAATATATAATCCTCTCTCAAAATGCTTCTCTGACTCTCTGGTTCTCTCTCTATACAAAACGGTTGCTCTAGTAATTAGGCTCCACAAAACAAAACAAATTTCTCTCTGTATTGTTTCCCTTGTAAAACTAAGTGAGATCCATGATTATAAGATAAATTCAAGTTGATCAATATACCAAGTAGTATCTTGAAGTAGGAAAAAGCAAGATCAGGAGGAAAATGAAAACCTTCCTCGTTCAAATTTGTGCACTTAATTCTTAAAGAGTAATGTCCCACAATATTACTGAGATCCGATAAACAGCACAGGAAAATTTAGCTAAGATGTTTATGATTATGAGATTGAGATCTCTAAACAACATTAGGCAAGTTTTCACGTAGGAAAATTGCGGAAACCTCTAAATGGTTTTTTGACAAGATCTTGAACACTTGCAGACAAAAGTTGTTTGTACCAAGTTACTAGTCCTTGAGAATGTTTTAGTCTTCACTTATTGTTGTTTCAATCAAGAAGACTTTCTATAACCTTGTGGAACTCGAGGGAGTGTCAATGTTACTTAGTCACCAACTTAACCTTATCAGATACTGCAACTGAGCAATTATGGTGTAAGATCACAAGCCCTTTACCAATGAATAGAACGCATCATTAGAACACTGATCTTTCGCTCGTTCATGGAATTCTCTGCAATTTTTTTCAAGCTTACAAATCAAGGTTAGAACTAAATATTATACAATGTAGCAGAAATATATGAAAAAAGGGGAAAAAAATCTAACTGGTAATTTACCTCACCAGAAATTATAAGATGCTGAAGTAGACTATATAATAAGGTTAAGCCAAAACAGCTACAGGGCAACTCCTCTTGGCAAGTCATTTACACAACTAATTCTGCAAAATAGTAAATGCTTGCCAAAAAAGAGCCGCCCTATGGCTGGATTTGCTTAGTTAAGACAAAGACTTTCTTCTTCCCTGCTTGGTTTCTCTCCTGACTCAGCACCAACCTTTTTATAGGCGCTTCGACTTGATCAGCTCGGAAAAAATTGGAATAAAAGAGCAACAGAGATGGCGAGCATATTGAAACGTTTATGCCTTGAATATACTTCTAGTGCTGCTTTCCAAGGTGTAATTTTCAGGATGAGGTCATTATGTTTCATGTGGTCACTAAATAGAAACGTAAGAGTTGAAAATGCTCTAACGGAAATATGTGTGATTCTCGGCTGATCTTGCTCACTAGAAGGACGAAAACATTAGTTGTTTGAAAGGAGATCCTAATTCCTAACGTGGGTGAGTGACAAATAGCATATCCCAGTTGATATCCACTTTTTTTTGTCTTTTTGTTTTTCTAATTTAAATGTTGGCTTCTCGGTTTTTCCAGGTTCTATCACAGTCTATTTATTCCTTTCATTTTTCTCTCACCCTTAATATCTACACTAATGCCTCTAACCGTTATAACTTGGTACTTGGCTTTTGAGGCCTCGCAAGGCAGAGATGAGCTTCCGAAGCACGTGTAACAATTCAACAAGAAACAGTCAAGTAGTAACGTCTATAAACTAAGGCTAAGGCCTCATTTAATTAAAAAAAAAAAAATATGTCAAGACTTGAGATGAGTTAAAATTAATAGGTCAATAGTTTACATAAGTTAATAAATAGACTAAATTACTGTTTTTGTCTATAATTTGTCTGGTTATAAACTATAACTTAACAAGTTATTGTCCATAAATCGTGGTTTTTATTCATAATTTGTCTGACTATGAACCATAACTTGACAAATTTGTCCATAATTTATCTGGTTATGAACCATAACTTGACAAGTTATGACCTATTAATTTCTATAACTAAAAATTAGCCTATATACTTCCTTAAGCTTTTCATATTAGCCTATTTTCTACTATTTCCTTTTAATTTTACCGATTTAAATTGAGCTGAAATGTAACTTTTTATGAGAGTTTTAACTGTAGTAAAAAAATTAAATATGATTATTATGAGAGTATTTAATTATAACAAAATTTAAATTAAAAACTCAAATGGTGAAATGAACGAGATTTAAAAAACTTTTAAATATGGGACTCCTTAAACTTTTCGAGTTTAACAAATTAGTCCTTACTTTTTTTTATTTTTTATTTTTTCCAATCGCCTTCCTAACGTTTAAAATTTTTTGTAATTGTAGTCCAATCGATAATACCCTTAAGCGCCATGTTCATTTCACCAATTCGAGTTTTGTTACAGTAAAAAGTTTTCAGAAACAGTTACATCTAACTTTTTTGCTACAGTAAAAAACTTACACATAAAATTACATCTCAACTGGAATTAAAAACTTGAATCAGTGAACTAAACGGGCCCTTAGTGTGCGTTTAGTTGGTGGATTCGTACCATAATTCGGATCATGATTTGAATTATAGTTCATAGCTCGCTATAGTATTTTCTCTCATAAAAAATACACGTAAATCGAGAATGATTCTAAATTTATAAACTAAACGTCCACTTAATTTTTTAGACACACATATGTGACCCACTAATGAGGCCAATATCGTCATTTTCCCCCCAAATCTCTATTTGACCTGAAAGAGTAACTCCACCTTTCTCTCTCCTCCTCTTTCTTTCTCTGACTATCTAAACAGAATTTCTATTTGAATTAAGGGGGTGTTTGGTACCTAGATTCGTTCCCTGATTCGAATTATGGTTCGTGATTCGTTACAGTATTTTCTCTCACAAAAAATACACGTAAATAAAAAATGATTCTAATTACATGATTCTAATCCATGAACCAAACGTCTCCTAAAAAAACCTAAAAAAATCTATTGTTAATTAAAGGACGCGTTTAAAACTCGTTTTAAAATTATTTTATTTTTTATATGAAAATAAAAATAAAAATAAAAACATTTTCAATCCTAGACAGAAATTATTTTTTAAAATGCGTTTAATAATTTTATCAAGAGATTATTTTTCAGTATAAAAAAATTCATTAATGTCTCTGTCTCTTTCTCTCTGCTCAATAAAAGAGAAAACGAAAATAAAAAATAAAAAATGACTAAAAATTATTTTTCATTTCTCTCTCATTTTATACTAAACTAAAAAATCATTTTCATTTATGTTTTTTATTTTTATTATGTCAAACGCCGTTTTAAAAATGTTCTTAATTTTTTTATAAAAAAAACGTAAAAAATAAATACAGAATTAATTCTAAATACGGTCAAAATTTTTTATTTTTACAAACTAAAAAATTTTAATTTTTTTCAAATTAAGAGTTAAATTAACTTTTTATTAAAAAAAGTTAAATTAACTTTAAAATATCCAGAAACTTTAAAGGAAATTTGAGTCAATGAAAAAAAAAAAACAAAAAACAAACAAACAAAACCCAGAAACATCTGGGTTTCCTTCGCCCTTAAACCAAACCCAGAAACTTCCACGATCTCCATCGCCCTTAACAACATTTGTCCAGACCCAGAAAACCAGAAACTTCCACAATCTCCATCACAATTAAAAGAAAAAATTTTCAATTTTTAATCTAAAAGAAAAAAGGAACAAAATAAAATAAAAATTAAGAAACCCAGAAACTTTGGGTTACCTCTATACTGCAATCATCTTCCACAAACCTCCACCATTTTCCACAGCCTCCTCGCCATATTCCTTCCAAAAATACAGATTCATCAATCTCAAAAAAAAGGGAAAAAACTTGATAAACGAAGACGAGTGACGCTGGGTTCGGCGTGGGTGGGTTCCTCCACCTTCAACGGCGACGCTGAGCTCGAGGGCGGCGATTGCCGGCTGGGTTCGGCGTGGGTGGGTTCCTCCACCTTCAACCGCGACGACGATCGCTAGATTCAGCAGGGTACAGCGTGGATGTTCATCGCCATTTGATTTGCAGAATTGGCAAATGGTTTTGGGTTTGTTTGGCTTCTTCTTGAATTTTGTTTAGATTCGTTGAATATATTAATAAGGGGAATATATTAATAAGGGGACGTTTACTTGATTATGATTCATAATTATTATTCTCATTTTATGTGTGTATTTTATAAAAAAAAAATATATTATAAAGAGTTATGATTTAAATCATGACATGAATCTCATTCTCATTTTATTTGGACTTTGGAGTTTTATTTGGCTTCTTCTTAAATTTTGTTTAGAGTTTTTGAGAATCTGTTATTTGAATTTTTAATTTAAGTTAAAATGTGATTTTATGTAAAAAAAAAAATTTATTATAATAAAAAAATTAAATATAATTATTTTTTAAAATTTTGTATTATAAAAAAATTAAAAATTTAAATTTAAATTGATAAAATAAACATAACCTAATTGTTTTGAATAGAGGCAGGGCGAGATGGATTTCAGAGAAAAAAAATTTCTCTTTTTTTCCTTCAGATAGAGTTCATATAGTTTTTAAGGGTTTATTCTTTTGGAGTTTAACTTGAGTATAATTCTTGAGTTAAATTTGAATTATAACTTGAATTGAACTTGTAACTTGAGTTTGTGTTTGGTTTTATACATTTGAGTTATGGTTTGAGATAAGAATCTTTTTGAGTTTGTGTTTAAGTGAGTCAAAACTTAAATTTGTATTTAGATAGTATTTTAATAAAAACTCAATGCTGATGAAAAATTTTAATAGGGTATATGGGTCGGGTTTTATTCGTTTTTTCGTTGTCAATGCATAGAAAAAAAATCATCTCAATCAGAATTAAAACGAAAAAGTTATAGTATTTTTAAGAATAGAAAAAATAATATTCATTAATTTAAGTTCGAGTTTCTGAACTCGAGTTTAAGGGGAATTTTAAACTTGAGTTTTAGTCCTAAACTCAAGTTTGAACTCGAGTTTAAACTTAAAAGAACATGAACTCGAATAAAATTATAACTCGAGTTGTTTTTTTTTAATTTTTTACTCAAAAGAACAAGCCCTAAGCGTTATTTTTTTTAATAATCAATTTGGCCAAATGGACGTGTCCTGCCCTTCTTAAAACATCACGTGCATATCATGTGAGGAAAATTCATGAAATTTTTAACACGTCATCAATTGGACTACATTTTAAACGAGGTCGGAGACGTTTGGTTCATGGATTAGAATCATTTTTTATTTATGTGTATTTTTTGTGAGAGAAAATACTATAGCGAATCATGAACCATGATTCGAATCGGAGTACAAATCTCCCAACCAAATAACTATAAAAAATAAATAAATAAATAAATAAAAATTTAAGGATCAACCTGCCTAACTCGAAAAGTCGAGAGGGTCCATGCCAAAAAGCCTGAAATAAATAACAGTAAGATCACAAATCACAAAGATACACATCTCATAATAAAATTCATAACCCATTTGCCTCATAATCGGTTTTCACTTTACCCCATGGCGTCAGAATATGACTTGATTTTTAATAAACTAGAACATGAAATGAGGTAATGTGTACGGGTGCGTGAATTCGTGTTATAATTCGAATCATAATTTATAATTTATTATAGTATTTTTTCTCATAAAAAATACACATAAATAAAAAATAATTATAAATTATAATTCTGAATTTATGAACCAAACGTTCATGTAATTTGACAAGGATTTGGGTTCCAATTCCATATTTACAATGACAGAAAAGTACCCTTTAGTCTATTTCGGCCATTTTTTCCCTAGCCAATAAAATATTTAACATTTTTTAAGATTTATTTCATTTAGTATTTTAATTAATTAATGTGTGAACAATATTTAACATAGATTTAGAAGATTAACACTTGTATTTTTAAAAATTTAGCCTCATTATTTTTACTTTTTATCATAATTTAAATTTTTTATTATAATATTTTTTCTCATAAAAAAATAAATTTAATTTTTTTGTTATAATATTTTCTCTCATATAAATTTATTTTTTAAATTAAGTTCTCAACTCTTATCCACAAAAAAGTCTTTAATTGATTTCACGTATTTTGTGACCATCTACTCACAATAAATATGTTAAATGATTTGTTTATAATCATATCCCAATATGATTTGAAATATGTTGACCCAAAATTTTAACTATTAGAATAATTTTTCAACTCAAATTTTCAATGCAGTAAATCTTGATTAGCGTCTGGCAGCAAAGGAAACAGAGTCTTGGGATAGCAGACTTCAACTCTAGTTGTACACTACTTTCTTTTTATCGCTATAACAACATCAATGTAAACCAATATTTTTATGTGGACAAATTATCAATGGATTCCATCTATAGTTATCATTAAATATAAAAATTTAATGACGTGATATGATTCATTAATTATCATAATTTTTTTAATTAATTATCTAATTTATTATAACTGTGAGATTAATATCTTGCTATAAAATAATAGTATTTGAGTAAATAATAGTGTAACCATTAAAATAACAATATCTCTTTGGCGTTTTACTAGAGGCTGATAAGGTAAGAACGTTTGCTAATATTTTTTAGATAACTTTTTTTTTTTTTTGTTAATATTAGGTGTAGTAAATTTGATCCAAAATCAAACGACATGCAAATCCGGCAGTAATCAAAAGATATACCGCGATTCTGAAATATATATATATATATATCCGCCTTTTGTTACAATTGCACAACAAATAAAAAGGTTGAAAGTACAAAACGTCCACAACATCCTATCTAATATATGCCCGCAAATGGAGGCCCCCGTCAATATGTAGATTGAGCATTGTCCTATAGTTGAACTCTTTCTCTTCATCACTCAGCTTGAATCTGTAGCTGCTCAAAAGCACAGCCGAAAAGATCTTCATCTGTCTGTAAGCAAAATCCTTTCCTAGACAAATTCTTGGACCAGCCTGTATCAAAATTACAACCACAAAACTCCTCTGAATTTTCTTGATTTATCTCAAAATTTGCAGGAACATACTACTGATTCAACACGGTTTTCCGTAAAACAGACACCATAAAAATTGCTTTCACCTAGTATTTGTTCACACATATATGATATTTTGTTTCTGGCTCTCTCAATTTATGTATCTACTTGGATAATGTGAATAAATCTATACAAACAGGTACCAGCATGTGACAAACTAAAGAGTATGACTACAAGGATTTGAACTAGATACCATACTTATGCAACGCTTTTTCTTACCTGAAAGGCTGTGAATTTGAAAGGGCTCTCTGGGAGGAAAAGGCCATTTTGGTCGAGCCATCTCTCTGGCCGGAATTCTTCCGCGTCGTCGCCCCATAAAACCCTCATCCTGCCCATGGCATAAGGCATGTACGTCACACCATCTCCTTTCCTCAGGCTGAATCCATCTGGTAAGGTATCATCAGAAAAACATATCTTCCCATCCTACAAAAGCACCACACAAAAAAACTAATTCAGAAAAGGAAACAAAAACAAAAAATTCCTGAGTTCAAACATTACTTAGCACTTAAGAGCATCGAGTAATATTATCACCAATGGAACTGCAGGGTAGAGCCTGAGCGTCTCAGTCAAAGTTGCAAGAAGATATTGCATTTTGTCGAGGGCTTCTTCGGTGAGGCTGGCTAAGACTTCATCAATGCTTGAATTCTCTTTCAAGCTTGTTGCTTCTCTCACTTCTTTTGCAACCTTTTCTTGTATGTTCGGATGCTTGCAGAGCACATAAAAGAACCAGGATAGAGTGGTCGCTGTGGTGTCTTTTCCAGCAATTATAAAACTTAGAACCATGTCCTTTATGTGCTTCATATCTTTCTCTCCCATTTCAATCAGTCTAGACAATAAGTCTCCTTTCTTCATCTGTCATTTACATATCCTTGTTGCCATCAATAGTCCATAAATCAGACATTTCTATCACAATTTTGAGCATTAAAACTTTCTCACGTTTACAAACTTCTCTATTACATTATTGAGAAAAACAGTGTGTTTAAACTTCTGAGATGGCAATGTTTGGTTTCGGGTCAATCTCATTTTTGACCTTCAAACTTGGGAGCGAATCTAACATTTACAATGTAATTCCTTCAAGAATCCACTAAAAATGAATGAAAAATGACGTGTAACAGTCATGTGACATTACTTTAAATACTCACAGTAAAGTGTCGCGTGACTATTATATGGCATTTTTAGCTACTTTTAAACGAATTCTTGAAATAAGGATTTTAATGGAAAACAATTTTACAAACAGGGGACTAGCAGTGAAATTATTTTGATATTACTGACCAATATGGGATTCATCTTTAAATTCAGAGACTAAAGTTGAGATTAGAGTTATGCTAATTTTTTAACTAGTTAGAGATTTGCACATAAAATTGTACGCCTCTATGTTAAAATGCGCGGTACTAATTCTTTTAGTAAGTGCGGATACTGAAGTGAACATGTAGAAAAACGAGCTAAAGAACAGTTTTTTATATGATAAAAATAGCAACTTAGGAGACCAATCCTTAGATCAAACAAATGAATATCTATTCTAGAAGTCAAAGTAACTCACTGGGACATCATGATCTCGTGAGCTGTGGATTTCTTGAATCGTGCTTCTGATTACTTTGTAAACGAACTCATCTACCAGTTTGATATTTTTCCTCAAAACTGCTTCAGAGCCAATGTTTAGGAACCTTTTGATCTTCCAAAAGGCATCAACATAGCGGTAGAGGGTAATAGCACTTGCTTCATCAAAAGCATTTGAAAATCTAGTCGTTTCTTCATTAGTTCCACAAATGCTATCCAGTTCCAAACCAAGAATAATCTTGAAAACTATATCCAATGTTGATTTCATGAACAGATCCTACCCCCAAAACAGGAATTGTAAAACAACAGTAAATGAACAAAGTAAAAGCAGAAACAAAACAAAACTACATGATTTTTGGATCATCATTCATAGACTTACTTCCATATCCACTACTTGATTTGAGATTGCAGCCTCGGACACTATCCGAGCAAGTCTGACCGAATTAGTCTTGAAGACCGAAGTGCTGAAATCTCTCAGTCTCTTAGATGAGAATTGATAACTAGCCATCTTCCTTTGACGTTTCCATTTTTCTCCATCCACGGTGAAGAATCCATCTCCCAAAAGATCTGATAAAACGCTGTAATGGAACCACCCCTGCAAAGATGTCACAACTCATAAGAACTAAAACCGAAAAAACGACACAGTTTCCTAATGTTTGATTCACTTATGACTTAACCAACTCAAAATTTGTTTTCAAATGGACCCCATTAAACTTCATACCTTCAATTCCTATAAATAGTGACTTCAAATGAAATTAGAGATGCATACCTTGCCATAGTTTGCGAAATTTGTTTTGAGGATGTACTCAACATTTGCAGGGTCAGTAGTGCAAACCTCACTTCTGAAGAGACCAAGCAATCTATAACTTGTGTGGTTGTTTGCAAGATCGGTCATGTAATGGTGCAGTTTCTGGAAATTGATCAGTTGGTTTACTATTGTGCCTGCTATAGGGTGGTATCTCTTTCTCTTCCTGGGAATCAGTCCGCCATAGAACCTGATTATGGCTATAAGACAAGCTACACATACGGCTAAAAAGGTTATTGTAGTTAGAGATGTAAAATTGAGGAACAAATGCATGAAAGCTTGTGGATCTGTGATTAAAGAAAATGAACAGAAAGGAAAGTAATTGTGAATTTATGTGCTGCTGTTGCAATTGTTGAGAAAAATTTTTTAAATATGACAAGCTCGCAAGTATACGAATCGTAACAAGTAATAAAGTGACAATTTGTTAAGTATCGTCCCACAAAGATTGAGTGTTTTTACAAATTAAACTAAGTATCGCTATTATAATGACTTTAACTTTATCTAGGCGATTGAATAAGAGTAATTCAAGTAAATAAAATGATAAATTAAAATACTAAAATAAGTAAAAATAGAATTTGGAAATAACAAGAAATCAAAGGGAACTTTGATGGTTAAAGCGGGTAGGGGGTTTTGATTTCACTTAACTAGACTATATTTATCCAACTTAATAACTTGTTGATCAATTTCATTCAAATCATTAATCCTAGGTTACCTACTTCAATTTCACTCTGTGAAAAACCAGAGAAAATATTTCCTAAGATTATGGCCGGATATTGACTTTGAATAGGCTGATTGTGTATAACTGTGAATATCTGTAAACTTAGAAATAATATTTGTATTTTAAGAAAGTAGACTGATTAGCTTATTTTAAGAAAGTAGAATAATTAGTCTGTTTTCTTTTCTCTGTTTGTTTTCTTAAATCAGTGATTGTGTTTTCTGATTTAATGAAATTGTATTTCCTATAAAATGTATGATAGAATAAGATGAAAAGTATTCCCCTCACACATTTTTTGTCTCTGTCGTGTTCTCTGTTTTTTCTGATTTGGTATCAGAGCCAAGCTCTTTTCTTCCTGATTCTCATTCTTCGCCGTTTGTTCTTCTCTCCCTTATCCAATGTCAGAAACCTCTGTTGAGTCAAGCGGAAAACCCACCTCAGAAATCACCCATGTTTCAAATCCGTCAAAAACCATAGGGACAACGGAGTCTCATTCCGTCCAAATTACCACCATATGTTTAAATGGTGATAATTTCCTACGTTGGTCGCAGTCGGTTCGTATGTATATCCGGGGTCGTGGGAAGATTGTATACTTGACTGGGGAAAAGAAGGCTCCTGCGGAGAGTGATCCGACATATGCTACTTGGGATGCTGAGAATTCCATGATGATGACATGGTTGGTTAATTCGATGGAGGAAGACATTAGCTCTAATTATATGTGCTATCCAATTGCACAAGAGCTATGGGAGAATATGAATCAGATGTATTCAGATTTGGGGAACCAATCGCAAATTTTTGAGTTGACTCTAAAACTTGGTGAAATAAGACAAGGGGAGGATAATGTCACCAAGTATTTCAACTCTTTGAAATGGATATGGCAGGACCTTGATTTGTTTAACACCTACGAATAGAAGTCTGCTGAAAATGGTCGCCATCACAAGAAAGTGGTGGAGGATAACCGAATTTTTAAGTTTCTTGTAGGTCTCAACTTTGAGTTTGATGAAGTAAGGGGGAGAATCATAGGACGACAACCACTACCTCCTATTGGTGAAGTATTCTCAGAAGTTAGGAGGGAGGAGAGTCGAAGGAATGTGATGCTGGGAAAGAAGGGGCCGAATGCTGTGGTTGAAGAATCTGCTCTTGCTGCCATAGGAGAAAACTCAAGCAAGCCCTATCAGTGGAGAACAGGTGATCAACAAAGAAGTGAGGATGGCTGGAGCAAAAATCTGACATACCAACAGCAAGACAAATCTCGGCTTTGGTGTGATTATTGCAGCAAGCCCCGCCACACCCGGGAGACCTGTTGGAAGATCCATGACAAATTGACAAATTTGATGGGATCCAAGCTCGGTGAGAAAATAGGATATGCAGCCTCCAGCACAAAAGAAACTGATTCCAGCCCCTTAACAAAAGAACAAATTGAGCATCTCCTTGCACTACTAAAATTCAATTCCTCATCTAGTACTCCTACTGTGTCTATTGCACACACAGGTAAAGAAATTACTAGAATAAATGCTCTTGTGTCAGCACCATGGATAATAGATTCTGGTGCTTCTAACCATATGACTAATGCCTCAAATTTGTTCAATTCTTATATCCCATGTTCTGGTAATGAAATAGTTAGAATTGCATATGGGATTTTCCCGTCGATTGCAGGTAAAGGATTAATAAAAATATCTGAAAGAATAGATCTTAAATTTGTTCTTCATGTTCTAAAACTTTTCTGCAACCTCTTGTTTGTCAGCAAACTATCTAAAGACTCTAACTGTCAAATTACATTCTTTGAATCCCACTGTGTTTTCCAGGACCGAAGCTTGGGGATGACGAATGGCAGTGCTAGGATGGTAAATGGCCTTTACTACTTTGAAGACAATCTACCTAGAAATAAAAAAGCTCAGGGCTTGAGTTGTGTTAGGTCTTCTTCTATTTATGAACAAATTATGATTTGGCATTACCGGTTAGGTCATCCTAGTTTTTTCTATCTAAAACACTTGTTTCCATTATTGTTTAAGAACATTGATCCTACGGTTCTTTATTGTGAAAGTTGTTTATTGGCTAAAAGTCATCGTAAAACTTATGTTCCAAGGTTTTATCGCCCCTCAAAACCTTTTTATCTCTTTCATATTGATGTTTGGGGACCTTCCAAGATTACTACCATTTCACAAAAAAGATGGTTTGTAACATTCATAGATGATCATACCCCAATTTGTTGGATTTTTTTTATGAATGAAAAAAGTGAAGTTGAAAGTGTCTTCAAAAATTTTTACAAAATGATTGAAAATCAATTTCAAACAAAAATAAGCATACTACGTTCTGACAATGGAACGGAATACTTCAATAGTATGTTAGATGCTTTTCTAAAAGAACAAGGAATTTTTCATCAATCCTCATGTCATGACACCCCACAACAAAATGAAATAGCCGAGAGAAAAAATAAGCATTTACTTGAAGTTGCTCGTGCTATAATGTTTTACATGAATGTCCCAAAATATCTTTAGGGAAATGCAATTTTAACTTCTGCATACCTTATCAACAAGATGCGTACATGGGTTTTGCAATACATCACCCCATTAGAATGTCTAAAAAAGGGGTTTCCAAATTCAAGACTAAACAATGATTTACCCCTTAAAGTCTTTGGGTGCACGGCTTATGTCCATATACCTAAGAGGTCTAGGTCTAAATTAGATCCTAGGGCTGGGAAATATGTCTTTGTTGGGTATGCCCCAAATCAAAAGGGGTATAGGTTTTTTAATCCTCAAACAAAAAAGTACCATGTGACCATAGATGTTACCTTTTTAGAGAAAACTCTTTATTTCACCAAAAATTTCCTTCAGGGGGAGGAAATGGAAAGGAATGAAGACAATTTTTGGGAAAAATCCGAACCTTTACCTCACAGGATTTATGATACTCTTAATCATATTCTTGATTTTAAGAAGACCAAAACTGTTGATGATGAATCTGACATTGTTCCAATAGAAAAAGAAACACTACTAAAGGATCAAAATCAGAATCCTAAACCTGATCTTCTGGTTTATTCTAGGAAGAAAGTCTTCGGAAAAAATAAGGGACATTCTACTATCCCTGCATCAAATCAATCGAAATCTTTGAGTACTGGAACTGAGTCCGTTACAGGTAACCCTTCTTCTATTCCTACTTTAACTCCCAATCCAGATTTTGATATTCCAATAGCTCTCAGAAAAGGAACCCAAGCCTGTACTAAACATCCTATCTCTAAATATGTTTCCTATGAAAAACTTTCCAAAACTCATAGAGCATTTACTTCTAATATTTCTAAACTTGTTGTGCCAAGAAACATTCAGGAAGCATTAGATGATCTAAATTGGAAGGCAGCAGTGATTGAGGAGATGGATGCCTTGAGGAAGAATGAAACTTGGGAGATAGTTGACTTGCCGAGTGAGAAGAAAATAGGTGGGTGTAAGTGGGATTTTACATTCAAATGTAAGGCTGATGGCAGTATAGAGAGGTACAAGGCTAGACTTGTTGCAAAGGGTTTTACACAAACCTATGGGATAGACTATCAAGAGACTTTCGCCCCAGTTGCTAAAATTAACTCTATTTGTATCCTCATGTCTCTTGCCGTTAACTCTAATTGACCGCTCCACCAACTAGACGTGAAGAACGCATTTGTCAATGGTAAACTCAAAGAATAAGTTTTTATGAGTCCTCCACCAGGTTTCGAAAAAGGGTTCAGAGAAGGTAAAGTTTGCCGCTTAAAAAGATCTTTATATGGGCTCAAACAATCTCCAAGGGCCGAGTTTGAACACTTTGGGGAAGCAGTGAAGCGGCATGGATATTGCCAAAGTCAGGCAGACACCACCATGTTCTACAAAAGATCAAAAGAAGGAAAGATAGCTATTTTGATTGTTTATGTTGATGATATATATAATCCTGACAGGTGATGATAGCTTGGAACTAAAAAATCTGAAGGAAAGATTGACAGCTGAATTTGAAATTAAAGATCTGGAGTTGTTAAAGTATTTTCTTGGAATGGAGTTTGCAAGATCCAAAGAGGGCGTATTTGTCAACCAACGCAAGTATGTTATAGATCTTCTTAAAGAGACAGGGATGCTCGGTTGTAAGAGTGCTGACACACCAATAGAACCCAACTTGAAACTACAACCTATTGAAGTTGATAAGGTGATCAACAGGGAACGTTATCAAAGATTATTTGGAAGATTGATTTACTTGTCACATACGAGGCTAGCATGGTGAGCCAATTTATGCATTCGCCCGGGCCAGAACACTTTGAAGCAGTTTACAGGATCCTGAGGTATCTAAAAGGAACTGTAGGAAAAGGGCTACTTTTCAATAACCGGGGACACCTATAGATTGAGGCCTACACTGATGTAGATTGGGCTGGGAGTATAACTGACAGGAGATCCACTTCTAGATATTGTTATTTTATTGGAGGAAATCTAGTTGCATGGCATAATAAGAAGCAAAGTGTAGTAGCTAGGAATAGTACTGAAGTAGAATTTAGGGCAGTAGCTCATGGTATATGTGAGATAATTTGGATTAGAAATTTATTGGAAGAGTTGAAGGCTCCTACTTCACTACTGATGAAACTATATTGTGATAATAAGGTTGCAATCTCAATTAGTCATAATCCGATTATGCATGACCGGACAAAACATGTAGAGGTTGACAAACACTTCATTAAGGAGAAAATTGATAGCGGATAAGTTTGTATGAGTTATGTCCAAATAGTTGAGCAAGTTGTTGATGTGTTCACGAAAGGATTGTATTCAAAGCAGTTTGAAATGATGGCGAGCAAGCTAGCTATGGAAGATAGTTTTAAACTAGCTTGAGGGGGAGTGTGAAAAATCAGAGAAAATATTCCTTGACATTATGGCCAGATATTGACTTTAAATAGGTTGATTGTGTATAGCTGTGAATATCTGTAAACTTAGAAAGAATATTTGTATTTTAGGAAAGTAGACTGATTAGCTTATTTTAGGAAAGTAGAATAATTAGTCTGTTTCCTTTTCTCTGTTTGTTTTCTTAAATCAGTGATTGTGTTTTCTGATTTAATGGAATTGTATTTCCTATAAATTGTATGATACAATAAGATGAATAGTATTCTCCTCACACATTTTTTGTCTCTACCGTGTTCTCTGTTTTTTCTAATTCACTCCCTCTCCCGAGTACTGAGTAAATTAATATGCATAACCAACCAAATTAATATCTCTATTAACTCAATTAATTAAACATTCATTAAGCTCAACCTATTGTAGTGATTACCCAAGTTATATTGGTCTCCCAACTCAATATTACTATAGGTTGTGTTTCCCAAGTCCCAATATGTGAAAATGACTTTTCCAATACTAAACCCACACATCTAAAATCTCCAATTCATTAGGTAAACAAATTTGAACAAATAACATATAGAAACACAAATGATTTAAGATGAAATTCAATCAACAAACAATATAGTCTTCAAAACACAGTCAATATCAAGCTACATCATAACCCCCTAGCTTAAAGGTTTAGCTAGAGCAAGACATCAAGAATTCTTCAACTAAATAGATAAACAAACCAAAATCCCAATCCATCATTCAATCACACCCCTAGCTTAAAGAGTTTAGCTAGAGATATACATCATGAATTCTTCAAATAAATAGATAAACAAACCAAAATCCCAATCCATCATTCAATCACAAATCCAAGAAAGTAACTCAAAATTAAAAGCTAAATAAAATAGAGAGAGAAAGAGAGAATGTATAACTAGATGCCAGTAGAGCTCCACAATCTTCAGTCCCTCCTTGGTTCTTCAAGCAAGCCTTCAATTCTTTGTATTTTCTTCTATTGAGTTCTGATTTTTCTCCCTAAAACTCACTCCCTCACTCTGTTCCTTTCTTTTCCTTTTATATCCCCCCACAAAACAGCTCATTTCTACTCTAAAAACTGAGCAACACATGTCTGAGCGCTGCAGCGGGAGTTTTGTGCGCTGCAGCACCGCTAATTGTTATCCACAAAACCCTAGCAGCACAGTCGCGGGCACCGCAGCGGGAGACAATGGCGCTGCAGCGCCCATCTTGCTCGGCCAAGGTGAGCTGCAATGAGAGACAATGGTGCTGCAGCCTATAACTTTCCTTGCCTCTGGTTTTGGCGCTATAGCGAGCTCAGGACGCGCTGCAGCGATCGAAACAGCGTGTTTTTGCACTTTTTCTTCCTCTTGAGATCAAATATTCTATTTTTGCTACCATCTATAAAAGTGAGATAAAACGCCATAAAACACATGTGCAAATACTAAGAACACGCAAAATAATTAAGAATGGTACTAATAATAAATCAAGTTATCAGCAATTCATTTAATAAAATGGTTAAAGGTCCATCAGACTCATGGAGAGATATTTTCTTTGTTGGCAGACGAAAATGAGTTGACATGGTTCCAATTTCCATTAATGACAGAGTAGGAATTGTCATATCTTAATCTAGATTGTATGGTGCTAGTAGTCAAGACACAAATAAATATCAGTTGAAATCTAAATTCCCTGTCTTATACGCAACTTGTTTTGAAGCGTGCAACATTTCGTGGAATGTGAGGTGGCATTTGGCAAGGCTCTTGCTGAACTTATCTTTTAGGCGTATCGATTTAGATTTTTACATCTTATTTTTAATTAATATTTTTTTAATTAATAATTATTTAATTAAAAAAATATTAATTAAAAATAAGAAATAAAAATTTAAATTTATACATTTTAAAAAATATTTTTCTCTTTTCTCTTTTATCTACTTAGAAGTGCTTGGATGCATTGCTCTTTATCCATGTGATTATTTTTTTTTTTTTAAGACAGAAAAAAATGGCTATTTTTTAAAAAAGTACCAGAGCCTTGGACAATGATTAGAACTTAGAAAAAAGGCAGCGAGGTTGAAGACTTGTAATGGTTAGAGATAAAGTCGAAGTTCGTCATAGTGCATGCTTATTAAGGCTCCACATTTTACAGCTCAAGAACTATTCTAATGAAGGAGGTTTTAGGTATAGTAGTCATTTTTATATTTTCATTGCCGTTTATTTTAATTTATTAATTTTGCTTTGTTTTGTAATTAGTTTGTCATGTGGGTATTTTGTTATCGTTTTGTATGTAAGTTATAAACAGTCACATTACCTATTGTAATAGTTAGACTTGATATTAAGATATTAAATATTTTAACCCCGTTTATTTCACTGATTTTAATTTAGAATTCGAGTTTTATTACAATAAAAAACTCTCAGAGACAGTCATATTTAACTTTTTTACTACAGTAAAAAGTTCTCATATAAAGTCACATCTCAACTTGAATCAGCAAACTAAACGAAATTTTGAGTATTCTGTTCAGGTAGATTCAGAAACTCCAACTCATATCTTCCATACGAATTAGGCCGGTAATTTCTATCCTTTCCCGTCCCACTGCATCGTGTTCCATGCCCTTTTTATTTTTGCACAGCTTAAAACTTCTCATCTACAGTAAAACATATGTACTACTACAATGATTCGCCAGATTCAACTATAGAATGAATACTTTCTTGAGAATTCTATTTGCATTTCTTCAAAAGGAGCAAAAAGTTTTCACGTGTTTATTAAGAGCTTGTTTAGAATGTATACTCAAAACATAATTCTTAATTTTGAAGTTTGAAATTTAATTTTTTATGATAGAAAAACATTGTAACAGAATCAATAATTTGAGTTTCAACATATGACATAAATAGGCCCTAAATTTTTTTATTATTATTATTTGAAAAAGTTTAATGTTCTTTAAATACCTATCAGTTGAAATCATGTCAAAGTCTTGTTTGGAACAAAAATAGCAATGGAATTAGAAGTTTCATTGACATTTCAAGAAAATAGCATTACTGAAAAGGGGAATAACCATCTTAACAGGAGTTTTCATTTCTCACAGCCTAGGAAATGCATATAAATGAAGCCCTTCATCCATTTGAAGAGTGAACATGGTGCGATATTTGGCTTCCTTTCTCTCATCTACACGTTTGAACTTGAAGAATTTGAGTAGTAGAGCTGCCAAGATTTTCATTTGCCTATAAGCAAATTCCTTCCCTAAGCAAATCCGAGGTCCGGCCTGGAAACAGCACGAAGACGAGCATTTTTAAGATTAAGTGGTACATCTTTCCTTTTTAAGTGAAAAAAGAGAACGAAACAATATAACTCACATGAAAAGCAGTGAACTTAAAAGGGCTTTCTGATCTGAAAACACCATCATCATCAAGCCACCGTTCAGGTCGAAATTCCTCAGCATCATCTCCCCATATGTTAGTCATTCTTCCCATGGCATAGGCCATATAGGTTATCTCATCTCCTTTTTTGACTTTATAGCCGTCAGGGAGAATATCATCCTCTACTGGAGCCTTCCCGTCCTATTTTTTCAGAATGAGTGGAAGAATATTAGCATTTTGGTTTCAAAAACACGTCAAATAATGCCTAAAATCATGTGTCTATGGCTCCTAAAAAATTTGTTTATGGATGGAAAGACATACCAGAGGAACAGCTGGATATAGCCGGAGAGTCTCGGTTATAGCAGCATGAAGATACTGCATCTTGTTCAGTGCTTCTTCGGTTATCAACTCGGAAAATTCTTCAGGAGATATGCTATCTTCATGAGCTTCAGCTGCTTCTCTTACTTCCTGTGCAATCCTTTCTTGAACCAGAGGGTGCTTACAGACCAAGTAAGAGAACCAAGTGAGAGTGTTTGCAGAACTGTCCTTGCCAGCAATTATGAAGTTGAGAATTATATCTCTCAAGTATTGATCGGTCATGTTTTCTGGATCCTTTGTGCTCTCCATCAAAAACCTTGACAATATGTCCTCTTTTCCACTCTGGTCATAGAAACACATCAGTTGGTTCATAAGGCTAAGAAAAAGGCAACACAGCACGGTGGTAAAAATGTTCTTACATCAAGCTTTCCGTTTCTCATCTGCTCTCTCTTGCGTCTGATCAACTCGAATATGAAGCCGTCAATGATCTTGAGGTTTTGCTTAAGAGAGGCTTCCAAGCCAATGTTGAGAAATCTTTTAATTTTCCATGAAAAATCAACATAGCGCCAGAACACAATAACATTGGAATCGTCAAACGCCTTGGTGAATCGTTTTCCAAAATCATCTATGCCATTTAAATTATTCAGATCGACTCCAAATGCGACCTTGAATATTGAGTCTAGAGCTGACTTCATCAACATATCCTGCCAGAAGGGAGTAAAATGAAAAAATAAAAATAAAAAACAAAAAAAAAAAACTGTTCTACCCCTTAATATTCTAAAATATTTACAAGTGGAACATTATCTAAAGTTCAAAATGAATATTAAAACCAAAGTGATCTTGGGACAGACTACAGCAACTCAGACCATTGTAATTCTGCTCTTTGGAGTAAGCAAACCTGTAAATCTATTACTTCTCCGGCTACTGCAGATACCGAAATCTTTGAAACCAATTTTGCAGCATTCACCCTGAAGACATTGGTACTGAAATCTCTTAGAACTCGTGTTGAAAATTCATAACTAGCAAGCTTCCTTTGGTGCCGCCATTTCTCTCCATCCACCGCGAAAATCCCATCACCAAATAGATCTCTCATTATAGCCAAATTATAGTCCCCCTACAATTTCAAGAAATCGAATTCCAAACTCGGTATTTGTCAGGAAATAAAATCTACTTTTTTTTTTTTTTTTGCTGAATAAAAATTAAAAAAGTTACTAATACTTATCATCACCTTTCCATAGTTGAGGAAGTTGGTTTTAAGTATATGCTCGATGTTAGTAGGATCAACTGTATAGATGTCACTACGTGATGGCGTAAGCATGCGGTATGTCCTGTGTTTCCGAGCAACAGCCGTTTGGTAATCGAAGAGCTTATTGAAGTGTACCAGATGATTTAACACCAAACCAGCTATTGGTGGACGTCTTTCTGTTGACAGTGATTCTCTTATATACGCATACAAGAACGTAGCTAAAATGGCCACAGTGAGAAAAACTAAGACCCCAAGAAGGGCTAGAACAAAAGGGGTTGCAGTAAACAGCCCTAAAAAGATGAAGGACATGGAAAATGCTAAAAGCAGAGCACCCATTTTCAAAATTCTAGAAGAACAATATTAAAAAAAAACAGATTCTGAAGAAAGCTATTCGCTAATTAGAGGGCCATTTGTATATATAAAGGCCTTTTTTTTTTTTTGAGGTAAAACTATTGTCATCTTGCTATTAAGAATATCTGTCATTGAAGTTCGTCCTTGGGATTATCTAAGAGAAACTATTTTCAACTCAGTATTGACCTTTTCTTCCAGTCCAAACAGTACGCTTACCTGTGATATAAGTTGAGAGACTTATAATATTCAATTTCGATGTACACCGGCGACATATCTAGGGTGTTTTCCCCATTTTTTGTCTTTGGAAGTCGGCAGAAATTGGAACTAATGTAAACACCAACATTTATCACCATGAAATCTATGGCTGCAATGCTATCTTGTAATTGCCATCATAATCAATTCATCCTTTGTTATTCATATCCTTCTTTAACACGTTCAAAACTTGTAGTATTCTCCCCATCCCTACATCAGGCGAGCCCCTCACTGAAAATTCATGAACTACCCCATCAATTTCAATCATGCTGCAGCCTGCGACTTCCTTTTTTATTCCTCTTTCTTTCATCAGTGTTCTGATGCGCTTCACATCTTCAAATCTACCAGATTTGGCATATATATCACACAAGTTCACATAGAAAGCGTGGTTCAGGGGTTCCAAACTGATTAAATATTTAGCCACCCTTTCTCCTAACTCTACCTTTCCATGCATTTGACACCCTCCAAGTAGTGCTCCCCAAACGAATACATCAGGCTTCATGGGCATGCCTGCAATAACCCTTTCTGCCTCTTCAAATAGCCCGGCCCTGCTAAGTATATCAACCATGCATGCATAGTGATAGACTTGCGGTTCTATCGAGTGAACATGTTTCATCATGTCAAAACACCAGCGACCTTTGTCAACATAACCAGCATGAGAACAAGCCGACAATAGCCCAACAAAAGTCACATGGTTGGGCTTCATCCCATTCATTTCCATCTCTCCATAGACGTCAAAAGCTTCTTTACTGAATCCATGGAGAGCTAATACCGAAATCATTGCTGTGTAGGCCAAAGTATCCTTCTCCGGCATTTCCTTGAAGACATTAGATGCTCGCTCCACGCTTCCACATTTACCGTACATGTCAACCAATGCTGTACCAGTCACCACATCACACACTAGACCACTCCTCCTGAGATAATCGTGCACCCATTTCCCATGATTAATTGCACCAAGTTGAGCACAAGCAGAGAGGACACTGGCAATTGTAATCTTATCTGGCCTAAACATAACGTCACTGCTTGCAGCCTGCATTTCATGGAAAAATTCCAAGGCATCCTTTGGCCGACCACCTTGAACAAACCCTGTAATGATCGAATTCCATGTAACGATATTTTTATTCCTCATCTTCCTAAACAAATTCAATGCATCATCTAGATCCCCATTTCTCAAATACCCAATAATCATTGAGTTCCACGAAACAACATCCCTGTTCGCCATTTCATCAAACATCTTTCGCGCAAAACTTGGAAGCCCACATATGGAGTACAAATTTATCAACGAGTTCTGAACAAAAACATCTCCACATAACCCAAATTTAATGACTTGACCGTGAATACTCCGTCCCAAGAAACCGTCAACCCTTGCAGCGCATACCTTCACAAGAAAAGGAAAAGTGAGGCAATCGGGCGCAATCCCTTCCCTAAGCATTTGCTTGTACAGCAAGAAAGACTTGAATGAATAATGAGTCTCATTCCTACTATAGTTTTTACTTGCATATGCTCTGATCATGATGTTATAGACATAAGGATTTGGAATCTTAATGGCCCGGAAAATATCATTGGCATAGCTGAGGGAACCCAAATTGGAAATGGCGCAAAAGAACAGGAGACGAGAAAGGAGTAAAAGTTGGTGACTTTGGGTTATTGAAGTTGATTTTATGATCTGGGTATGGATTTGTTTAAGCTCTCTCATGTTCTTGCACTCTTCGATTAGGCGTAAGAGTGCGTTCCTAAGATTTGTTCTTTGGCTTTCTAGAACACTTGCCATCTGGTTAAGGATATAATTGTTTGGCGCCAGATTTAAGCAAGCTTTTAACTTTAACCAATTTCTGAAGTGAAAGCCACTAGTAACTTGCCTTGTTATAATCTGACCAAGTTTTATTTATTTACTTATTATTGTCATTGTTATTTTCAGAAATCAGACCCCAGTTTATTCAATAGCGTGCACAGTTAATGGAATGCGACCGATATAGCAAAATAACGTGTCCTATCATAAAATTTTCCCAAAAAAAAAAAGGAAAATTGCTTACTAATTGGAAAGATATGGTAATCGATAAAGAAAAAGAGGATTATTATACATGAATTTTTTGCTTTTGATGGAAATATTTCTTGTACTAGTTGCTCGACAAAAAGTATGAGATTATTAGCAATACTAATGGCATCTACATGGACAAAAAACAGCAAGAAGAAAAGCAAGGATTCAGCAAGCTATGGAAATAGAATACACGAGTCACAAACGAGGAGTCATTCATAAGATGGCACAATAACTTGCATTATTTTTTAACTAGAAATTTAGCAAGGAAAAAAATGAAACAACATGGAATTCCAGAGGTTGTCAAAAATCTGGATTACACCTAAAACAAAACACTATATTCCTTTGATTTTAAAGGAATCCCGACCCAAAAATTTACTGTCAAGGGGATGTAAAAATAAAAGAACTGAAAATTAAGATAGAACCAACTGTTACATTAGTTTCCAAGGTGACGACTTTTCTCTCACCTAAAGGAAACCTTCAATGCCACGGCCAGCTATGACATCCCTATACAGAGTTAAGGCTTCTTCCATGACTTTGGCTTGAGCCAGTAATTGAGCTCTCTTTTTACCAGATGGATGGGTCGAAAGATAATCTCGCAATTTGGAATCTCCAGTAACCTTGCCTAACTTCTCATACACCTTCGGTGCCACTCGAGGATCATAGCCAGCAGATGCAATTAACAACAATCCTATGTAATCAGCTTCCATTTCCATCCTAACAATCAGGAAAAAGATAAATTGAACATCGATTTCTATTATCAATATGAAGAACAAGAATCAAGGAAAAGTATGCCAGAAAGCTCAAAAGAAAACTCTTTCATGAATTTAAGGCGACGATTTCAAACTCGAGTTTGAACATTAATACTTGAATGACATGTTTTTTTTTCTTAATTATTATATGGCCTTTAAAGAAGGATTAAGACCGTCTAGCAAACAGACGATTTCGTTATAATGTCTTTTAACAACAAAACCAGAACTCCTATCTTCTCACAATTTTTGGCTCTGTATACACTATACATAACGACTTACAGAAGCTGAAAATAGTAGATAAGTATCAGTATTCACAAAAGTATTTACCCTCCTCATGAGCAATGTTGCACATTCCACTTGAACATGCAACATTTTAGTCACTATCTTGCTCTTGATAAGATAAAATGCATTAAAATTGATTCTTAAGCTCAAGAACTTTGAGCTATCTATATTGAGACAATCAGGCATGATTCACACTGATGTACGGAAGTAAAACTCTAGAGAAGGCAGCATCAGAAACTGCTACTGCTTACATAAACAATGGCAAACACGTTGCCCACTAGACCCTCAAATAGCAACCCAGATGTGTGCGAATCCATTTGCTAGAATTCAGTCCTAACCATAAGAATTTTATCTAAAATAACTTGGACAGTGGACTAACATTATTGTGTCTCTAACGCAGGAAAATCAGAGATTGAACTTGATCAAATCCAAAATGATCATGAAGAAATGGGCTTCTAGAGACATTTTTTTCCCATTCGTTTCTTTAAAAAAAAAAATAAATAAAGAATAAAAAAATAAACCTTTTTTATACCAATACCACACACTGGTATATCCCATTCAAACTATGAAGTGCATGGTGAGAAATCTGTTTATAGACATTAGCAAGACATTCCCTCCCTTTTCTCCAACAGTATATTGCATTTTACCATACCACCGTAAATTCTTATTCAACTTTCAAAGCCAGTAACCTGTATGTAATATAAAAGAATGAGAACTAATGAAATCTAACAGAAACGCATATCTTATATTCGCAATGTCCACCAAAAGCAGTTGGCTCCCAATTGAAAAACCAATACCACAACTCGAAACCATTCTCAATATCTAATGTACAGAAAAGCACGAGAAGAAAAAAAAAACCACGTAATAGTCGAGCAAGACTTTATTCTAAAAGCAAGTATTAAAGAATGCAAGACTAGAATTCAATCACAAACACGAATTATGCTAGAAATCTTCACAAGAACTCAATAGACATATCATTGTCCGAAAATGAAACTATTTTCATACAACACTCTATCACAAGTTAGACTTTACAACAAGACAACATGAAACCACCAATTAGCATAGGAAACCAGAACCATGAAAATCATTTTTATTCCAAAACATGAAACATAGAAATACCTCCGAGAAAAAGGAAGCCTTAGGAAAAGCGTTGACATGGTGTTGACAATATCCGGCATAACGAACTGATAAAGCACCAATTGCAGAATGGCAAACCACAAGTTCTTCGTCATTCCCTCCGCCGCGTGTCTAGCCACAGCATGCGCAACCTAACACATTCAAATCAAAACACAAATCAACCACATTATGAACTTCAAAACATATACATACACACATTTATATACACATACAGATAACATACCTCGTGGCCGAGTATAGTGGCAATCTCAGCATCAGTCCTGAAGTGCTCAAGCAATCCGGTAAAGACAACAATTTTCCCACCGGGCAAACAAAAGGCATTAACGACAGGCTCATTAACCACAAGAACCTCCCAATTCAACCCTTCCAAATGCGACGTCTCGGCCCGGGACCCACGTTCCTGACCTTTCCTCCTCGTCTCCTGGACCCACTTGTCGTCGAGAATCTCCTCGTCGCGGAACCACTTCTCCTCTTTCTCCGTCTCCTTGAGAGCAATCAAAGTATCGCGCGCCGCCTCCTCCTCGTCAGGCGCGCCATAGTTCTCCGACGACGCGTAGTCCAGGTCGTTCCACACCCGCTCGTGTCTCAGCCCTCTCTGGAGAGCCTTTATAATGTCGTTTGCGATCAGCCTCACGCGGACGCTCTCCGGGTGAATCGCCGGCAGAATCTTCCCCTTGAAAGCCGTCTTCATTTGCTCGAATTGGGTCTCGCCGAGCTTTCGTTCCATGGGCTTCGACAAGAGCACGAAATGTCTTCGTTTCGTATAAGGAACCGTCTCCAAGTTGCCGAAATAGACGGTGATCAGGACGCCGGACCCCACCACAACCACGATCAGGACTGTTCTCGGGTTCTGTAACCACCGGCGAGGGCCTCTCGGCCGGAAATGCTGGACGCGGCCGGAGTCCACATAGTAGAATCTCTTCGCGCCGCCAAGAAAGGGTCCGTTCTGGTGGTTTCTTGCTGCTTGTCCCAAGTACTGCGAAACTGTTGTACGAGAAATCCGTGAAGAAAATCCAAAGAATTTAGCTCTATTGGCGCCTAGGATCGAAGACCCAGAATGGGTTATTTCCGGATTACTGGGGTGTGGAATCGGAGTCTTGGGAAGAATCTTGGAACTGAAACTGCGGAAGACATCGAGCACAAGCTTTGCTCTTTTGTAACTTCCCATTATCTTGGAAAAGCAAAGAAATAATGATCTCTTTTTTGAGGTTTGATCGAACAAACGGGTTCAGTAACTATACATGTTTGTTGTTGAGTACTATGGTGCTACGGAAACCGAATTGGGGCTACTTGAATGAATGAAGTGTGTAGAGGTGTCTGGAAAGACGATAGAGGTGCTGTTTGGCCAAAAGTTATGAATGACCCGTGGCTTGGAGGACACGGTGGGTGGGGTTCCATAGTCCATGCTTGTGAGGAAAAAGGGCATTGAATGAATTGGAAGTTTGGAATTTAAAACTGGAAAATTTTACAGCATGGTTGAAAAAAAAAAAAAAAAATCTATATTGACAATGAATTTTACTCAATAGAATCCAGTGTAATTTTTACTTACTTGCCACTGGGCCTAGAGCAAAAGCAACTCTTACGAGACGTTTGGTAAGAGAATTCATACTATAATTTGAATCATGATTTATAGTTCGTTACAATATTTTCTCTCATAAAAAATACACGTAAATCGAAAATAATTTTAATCTCATGATTCTAATCCATGAACCAAACGTAATCTTCGGTCCCTTATCAAAAAATGTAAAAGGGTTGTAGATTTTAAATATTCATTACAGTTTTATAACAATTCTTATAACTCTATAATCATAGTGACTATTTGGGAATTTAGTGATGGTTAAAAGTTATATCTGGATTTAAGTTAATTTATAACATGTTTGTTGAAGTACGAATTGTTGTTTTTGGACTTTTCGTCGGCGATTGCAGCTGTTTCCGGCAAATATGGAGGTTGTGCGGCCTGTCAACGATCGAGTCCAACTCGTCGAGAGCTTTCCAATGGTGTGGGCGATGCCGCGAAACGACACCGAATCTCATCGGTGGTAGGTGGCCGGCGTGGAGAGAGTGTGTATGTGGGAGGGAGAGAGAAGAGAAAAAGGAGAAAGAAGAAAGAAAAAGGGGGAAAAAAAAAAGAAAGGAGAATAAGTTTAGATTTTCTGTATAAATTTAATAATTATACTTTAAAGTTCAATCTAAATAGAGTATAAAATAACTTATTATTTCTATTCTGAAAAATTGATTACCAACACTTAAAACGGTTCAAGAGACAGTAATATCAATTTTAAAAGAATCATTTTTTTAAAGGGAGAGATCGAGAGAAGAATGGTGAAATTTTCAATTTAATTATCCACTAGCTGTTGAAGAGCATATTCAGGAAGGGGGAAAAAAACGCTTAACGTTGATAAAATAATAAATAAAGTCGCTTCTCTTTTTCTTTGCAACACTTGATAAAAATTATGGGGACGCATGGAAAAATCCCCATTCACAAATTAAAGTTTGCAGACTAAATAAAAAGAGATACAAAAAAGAGAAAAAAACGTTAAAAAAATAAAACAGAAAGCAAATAATATAGGAGAAAACTAAAATTCGAAGTCATAAGAGCTCTATCTTGCCAAGACATTCTTTAGCAAGGGGCCTGTATTAAGCATCATCGTTCATTCCATAATTGGCCATCTTGCTTAGTTTCACCATTTCTTGCTCGTGTTGCTGCGACCTCTGGAACTGTTTGGCCGACCAGAAAACCTATCATTTCTTCGATCACCGCTCCGACCACCTCTTCCAAATGAAAACCTACCACCACCACCATTTCTGTCACCAAAACCACCACGACCACCACTGCCAAATCTTCCTCTTGACTGGTCCCTTTCTTGCAAAGAAGGCAATGCTTTCAACACTTCCAAGCTCACGTCGGCCGCATTCTCTTGACCTGCAAATTTGGAATTAGCAAGAGCTTCAGCCAAATAAAATGTGGACAATCCAACAAAAGACAAGCTTGACGAGGATATGCTTGCACTCGACGGGCAGCAAATTGTAACCAGTTGATCAAGCATAGACAAGAAAAAGGAAACCAATCATATTATTTTTATGCATGCTCATGTTGATTATATAAAGCCAATGAGAAACTGTACCAGTAAGAAATGTATCCAAATCTTCAAGTGCCACATCAAACACTGCACCCCTTCCATCAGCTGTGAGAGTCAAACCCTTGACCGACTCAGCCTTCTCTTCAGGCAAAAATCTCCTCAAGACCCCATACGCGTAACTGGAACAAATTGTGAAAAGAATCAGCAAACAAGTATCATTTTAATCATCTACTTTGAAAATAAATAAATAAATAAAAGAAGATGATGAAGAAGAAGAAGAAAAGAGAGGAATATAAATACTCACGATGGCGTGTAGATGGGTCTCCCAGCCTCGAGAAGTACTGTCACATAGTTCTCCATAGATGTCAGAAGTGATCTACTCTTTATCTCGGAATAACCCTGCAACACAAGGAAGAAGTGTCCTTGATTTATAAGATATAAGATTTCAAATTAAAGGTACTATGATCAACAGTGAGAAAAATAAAAACAAATTTTGTGCCACGAAATATAATGAGGCAAATTAACTCACAGCAGCTTTCGCAAGTGCTTTTGCCAGAAGTTCAACAGCAGATAGACCAGAAGTGCTTAATAATTCCTCCGCAGCAGTCATGAAAGCAGGAATTACGCTGCGAGTAAACATATTATAAATATCGGAATGAAGAAAAGGAAGGTGCCCAATACAACATTTTCATCACATATACCTATCGGAGATTTGATTTATTGTTTCTACCGCCTCCACACCAGCAGCTTTGGCCACATCAGCTGGCTGAGGAGCAGATAGGTGTTCAAATTTCACACCAGATTCCCTTTCAATTCTAGATATATTTGACTTCCTTGGATCAAACAGCATAACAGCAACCCCAGTATTGCCTGAAAATGTGAACTCGTAAACAACCAAGTTTTTCTTAATTCTTATAAAACAATACAAGTAAAATGCTTCCACGTTTTGATTATAAGATCATAAGGAAAATGTTTTCAGGCTTTAAAATTACCTGCTCTTCCAGTGCGTCCTGACCGATGGATATAAGCTTCTACATCACGTGGAGGCTCACACTGAAGGATGAACACTCAAGTAAAAAACTAAGAAAAACATATATCGCAAAGCATCATAAACTGCAAAAAGACAAATGTGCGATCAAACCTGAATAATTAATTGACAATCATTGATGTCCAATCCCCTAGCCGCAACATTTGTCGCCACTAAGGTAGTGAACTTGCCAGACCTGAAACCTTTAAGTGTGACCTGCAAGCACCAATATTAAAAATAAGAGAAGGTAGATGGGGTCTAGAAACAACTATAAAGACTGGAATTACAAAGACTGGATACATAAAATTGCATGTAGACGGACGACGAGAAATTTGTACTTGCTAGAGTTCAAAAATTACCATAAACCCTGCCTTAAACAACTAACCTCACGTTGAGCTTGCTGTATGTCCCCATGCAAAGCTCGTGCTCCAGGTAGCAACCCAGCAAGCCCGGAAGCAGAATCTTTTGTCTCAGTAAAAATAATAGTGCAGCCACCACTGAATCAAAACCATATGGTTTGAAGAAAATCAAATAATTAGTTAATTACAAATTGAAAATTAATGGACAATATCTAAGAAATCATAAACCAATGAAAAAATTAGCAAAAATAATAATAATAACCAACCTGCTGTAACAACGAATTATATCGGGAATAAGTTGGGCTCTTGCTGTACTCGAGCAGGGGATAACAATATGCCGTACATTTGTGCTAGCCTTCATCTTTTCATTACCAACAAGATCCACAGTCTTCTTATTCTGTTTGAGGAACCTAGTAGCAATCTGAAATAACAAAATTATGAAATCAATCATCTAGCTTGAAGGTGGAAGAAGAGGATTATTATGGTTTAAAAGAAAGTATTTTCAGAAAATAATTCTTAAATACAAAATTCAAAGTATAGACATCAGTCAAAATGGAAAATAACAAGCCCTATGTCACAACACTCCTTATTTTGAGAAACGCTTCTTAAAAATGAAAAGCGTCCTGGTAGCAGATCTAAAACGTGAATTCCAAACAAATACTAGAATTGACAACTTAGGTGAGAAATTTACATCTTTCACCCAATTTGGCAATGTTGCACTGAAAAGGAGGGTTTGAACTTTACTCAAATCCTCAACCTGGCCTGCAAATGCAACAACGAACAAATTGATGATGCCATAAATCAAAGTTAACAGAAAAATGTTAACAAAAGCGGAAAATCTGACACAATCTTTTTCTTATGATATACTCACGACTCCATGATATATGGTACTATAGTAAATTAAATCCCATACCTAGAATAAGTTCAACATCTTCAACAAAACCCATCCTCAACATTTCATCAGCTTCATCTAGAACCCGAAACTTCAAAGAGGTCAAGTCCAGATTATTCCTCTCTATATGATCCTGCACCAAATTTACAATAACTGTCATCTTACTCATCTAAAATTCCAGAGTTCCATTAGATGCTTCAAAGTTGCAAAAAGATGCATTATCACCTAATAAAAACCTTACCTTTACACGACCAGGTGTTCCAACAATTATATCAACCCCTCTTTTCAATTTAGCCTCTTGAGAATGGTAGGGTGATCCTCCATATAAACAGCATGACGTCAACCCCAACGCCGCACCATAAACTTCAAACTCCGCAAAGACCTAATTTAACAACCGTGACACGGGCGTTCCGATAGCTCAATTGATAAAAGAATATAAATAAATACTTAAAGAGCTGGTCCCGTGCTTTACCTGAGTGGCCAATTCCCTAGTTGGCAAAAGTACAAGAACACTTGGGGATCTCCCATATCCAGTCTTACGCGAGGCTTTAGCAGGCCCGTTAGTAAGAGACTCCAAGATGGGCAAGACAAATGCCAGAGTTTTACCCTACAATATTGTAAAGCCAGAGACATTAAAAGCTCGGAAAAAGTGAGCAACATTCAAACTAACATTGTAATGTTTACTGCCTAAAAACTATATACTGCTATTATTTTCATACATGGTGAAAACAGTTAACTTGTAATTTAAAGGGCTCATTTTGTTACTTCAATATTCCAATCACAACTTTCTAACTTTCTCTACGAATAACCCCAAAATCCTGATTAGACATCAATTTGTGTATTAACTTTTTTGCTCTTTTGCTACAAAAATAACTTAAGAACTTGGTATACAGAATTGTTAACTCGTCCGTTCACAAACATTGCGACGCTTTTAACTGAATTTTAATTCTCTTAGTACATATAAAGTATAAACTGTTCGAACGTGAAAAATATTACCCGATCAAAAAATAAAGGAATAATACAATACAAACCTATTAGAATTTGTTCGTTTCGAAAAGAAATCAAAATTACCTGTCCGGTGCGAGCCCGGCCGACCAAGTCGGAGCCATCCAAGATGGTATCCAAAGTCATTGCCTGAATGGGAAACAACGATTCGATCCCCTTCTCCTTCAATTTGGCCTTCAACGGCGCCGAGATACGGAACTTCGAGATCGCATTGGGATGCTCCTCGCTCTTTTCCTCGCCGCCATCGACGTCCTCCTCTTCTTCTTCCGCCTTGGCCTTCTTCTTCTTCTTCTTGCTTTCGGCCTCCACGCTCTTCGCCTTCGCGTTCACCGGCTCGCCCAGCTCCGAACTCGTCTCGCTTCTCTCTTCGTCATCATCAATCTCCAAAGCTTTGCGCTTCTTGTTCTCCTTCTTCAGCTTCGACTCTTTCTTGCTCTTCGCACTTTCGGATCCTAGGGTTTCCATCGCAGCTTGGTTCTTCAACTTCTTCTTCTCCTTCTTGTCCTTGGGGCTTTCAGACATTACGGCGCCAGAGATAGCTAACGAAGGCATGGCTTGGCTTCTAGAGACGAAAACTGCGGAATATATGTGTGCCCTAATGTGTATATATAGGGAGAGAGAGAGAGAGGTTTTTGTTTCTCCTGCTCTGGAAGGATGTAGCAGTTATAGGCTGAAGCAGGAGAAAACGAAAGAGGGAGAAAACGAGTTAGGGTTTTTTGGCCTTTATAGTTAACAGGCGGTCGACGATTTAAGGCCGTTGGATCTTAACGCTCTTCAGAATTTCGATTCGGCCGTCGGATTGGATTTTCCTTTTTCTTCACTTTCCTATTAAAATTTTAACTTTATTTTTATTTGTGGAGTCCAAAATCGAGATATTTTTAAAAAGTTTATCTAATAAAATCAGAATAAATAAATCATTGATAATTAGATAAAGTCTCTATATTTAGGCCTCGTTCATTTCACGGATTTGAGTTTTCAATTCAAGTTAAGATGTGATATTTTCTGAGAGCTTTTCATTGTAGCAAAAAAAGTTATACGTAAAATTTTCTGAGAGCTTTTCACTGTAGAAACCTAAAACTAAAAACTCAAATCAGTGAAATGAACGAGACCTTAACCTTATGACCTTTTTATCTTAAAAAATAATTAATTACTCGTATATATTAATGGTTTTTCAAATAAGAAATCTAATTTAATTACAAAGTGAGGAATAAATTTGTAAAATTATAATCTAAATTAATTTCTGTCAAAATTAAGATTAAAATTGTATTTTATAAAAGTACAAATTTATATGTATTTAAATTTTCATACAAGGTGTAGTCTGGTTATTGTGATTATTTTAAACATTTGCATCAATTAAAGTCTTATTGTTAAATCAAATACTTTCTATTATTTTTAAACATTTACGGTCAATCCGAACACAACCCGTGACACGAAATTTTTTAAAAACCGCAACACGAACACAACATGACCACTTTACGAGTTGACACGATACGACACGCAAATGACTCGTGACACGAAATTGATCCGTGAACCCGAAATTGACATGAAAATTGTATGCGTTTATTTAGTTTTTTACATATTAACCATTTGCATCAATTAAAGTCTTATTGTTAAATTAAATACTTTCTACTATTTTTAAATATTTACGGTCAATTCGAACACAACCCGTGACATGAAATTTTTTAAAAACCGCAACACGAACACGACATAACCACTTTACGAGTTGACACGACACGACACGCAAATGACTTGTGACACGAAATTGATCTGTGAACCCGAAATTGACATGAAAATTGTATACGTTTATTTAGTTTTTTACATATTAAAAAAAAACTTAAAATTCATAACACACTAAAATACAATAATAATTATTGAAATTAAGCAAATAATAGTATAAAATTTTGAGTAAAAATATCATGATATCACAAGTTCATAATAAAATCAAAAATATGTAATGAAAAATATATGTATTTTTTAGTTTTTTACGAGTTTTGTGTCATGTTCGGATTAAGCGGGTCCAACCCGAAATTGACCTGTGTTTTTCATGTCAATTTCAGGTTGACCTAATTCTGACCGAAACCTCTATTTTCTCAACCCTAACCCGTAAAATTCGTGTCGTTTTCAAGTCGTGTTGTCCTGTCATGATCCATATTGCCGGCCCTAATTCAAATCATTAAATTAGTCAAGTTAAACAAAACCAAAAGAAAATCAAACTAAACTAATTTAATAATCGCTTTAACTTAGTTAAAATTTAAAAAAAAACAATTAAATTTGTTTACTTTTTAAAAACCAAACCAAATCAAGCCAATTTTTATGATTGGTACATAATTTATATATATATATATATGTAACTAATTTATATTTTGAAAGATGTGTTTATCTTTGGTTATTTTATTTATGTTTTAATTTGATATTTTGTTATTGGGTTATTGATGTTTACAGTTAAGAAATATTGAAATGTTTATCATACAAAATATTAGTACAAATTACGGCTGAGACTTAAGAAGATGTTGTAAAATAATAGTTCAAACCAATTAGAAACCAAACCAAACTAATTATAATCAGTTTGGTTTGGATTGGATTATATCCTTTAATTGGTTTGTTTTAGTTTAAAAATCTTTAAACCAGTATGTATTTGATTTAGTTTGTATTTCACCTAAAATAAACGATTTGATTAGTGTGCACTCTCTATCTAATACTTTGTCTAAAAGGGATTTACACATTGGAGCAGTAGCATCTTCGTGTTTGAGAGCATTAAGACGGTAATGGATAAACCTTGAAATGATTATTTGTAATTTTCTTTCTATGTGTAAAGTAATTAAGCTTGTTTTCTTACATTAATATTTGATATTTTTAATAGTTTTGGGGATGTTTTTATTTTTTTCAAGTATTGGGTCCGTTTATTTCGCTGATTCGAGTTTAGAATTCGAGTTTTTTTACAGTAAAAAGTTCTCACAAACAATCACATCTAACTTTTTTGTTACAGTAAAAAGCTCTCACATAAAGTCACATCTCAACTCAAATTTTAAACTCGAATCAACGAAGTGAACGGGGCCATTATGATCATGACAACGACAACGACAACGGTATCACACTTGATATTCACCAAAAACCGTCGGTTAGTATCACAATGACTACTATCCATCAATATCACGATGGACTGATAGATGCAATCGTATCACAATAGATGTCAATTGACAATACAGTAAATACCTATGATCGACATTTAAAGATACACTTGATATTCTAAAGATAATGGTACCACTGTAAATATTTTTTATGGGTAGTAAGTAATCAATTCAAACAATGAATTTGGGTCATAGAAGAGGATGGTGTATGGATAATTGATTAATATATTTTTTAGTTATATTAATCAAAAGAAAAAATAAGTTAAATGTTGATTACGCCCAAACGTGTACAAAAATAAGCGGTCAATTTTAGTACAATTTGAATGGTCGATCCTACGAGGAAGTGTTAAATTGAACAAGAAATTACTAACAAATAAAAAGCGTTAGGAAAGTAAGCAATCAAACAAAGAAAAAGAATGAGTGTTTTTGATGATTTTTTGAATAATTTAAAATGGAGAAAATTCAATAATAAAAAAGTGGTAAGGCTTTGAGAATCCTCCGTATGCTTTGTTCACCTAATTGGATTTTGACTCATAAATTGACTCAATTGAAAGTTTCACATCCCAAACAATCAATCAGAAAATAAATATTTGAAGAACATATGAATTAAAAATGTATTTGAGTAAATAAAATTCTAACGTTTAGAATTAGGAAAAATTATCTTATGAGAAATCTAAGAGCGACAATATACCGTTGGCAATATTACAGTAAAAGACTACTCATAAAACAATACCTATCAATATATAATATAATGCAACAATCACATAAAAAGAGCTTGACTAGATTTATATGAAAGTTGACAATAAAATATATTGATAAGAAGAAGAAATGGGATAAAAGAAAATTATTTACTCAAATGTATAAAACTTACAAACCATTGGAGAATCAAAAATCCAAATAAGTTCACTACACATATAGGATCATCTCTAGCCTCACCTAAATACTCTAGCCTAGCCTGCACATAATTCTCATAAAATTCTAAAAAGAAAGTATGAGAATAAGAACAAGAAAATAATAAAAAAATATGTGAGAATTTAGGCTCCTAAAATTCATCCCTAATCACCTTGACAATGGCCTTATTTATAGAGTTTTTAAAATGCTAAGAAAAAACCATCACAAGGCTTAAACGGGGGAGAAAAACCATCACAAACGTGGTTGAAGAGTGGGACACGTGTCGCAAGTTGATTCGCACACGGGAGAAACGTGGTGCACAGCTGGACCACGCGGAGGGAGACTGGACGCGCGCGGGGAGGGAAAACGTGCGCGCAAAGCGCGCTTACTGGCGTGGGGAAGCAACGGCAGAGGATGACACGTGGCGGCTGGGATGGGCTCGCGGCTTCTCAGCTCGGCTCGGCTGGACGATGGGCTAATGGGCTTTGGGTCGATTTGGGCTTTTCTTGGGCTCAACTTTTGGGTTTTGTTTGGTAAACTAGCCCAAATCCAATTGTTTTCTTCAAAAACCTGAAAAATAAAATAAATCCAATTAAAATTAAATCCTCTAAATTTAGGAATATTTGAAATTAAAATCACAATTTTGATAAAATAGTTTGATAATTATGAACATTAAAAGTGCAAATTGGTGCACTTATCACAACCCCTAACCAGCTTATTGCTAGTCTCTAGCAATTCAAGCGAAAGAAAAATCATGTCAAGCTGAAAATTCAAATCAAAATCTGCAAAATCACCTAAGCAATCAAACAAAACATTAGTAAGTCATCAGAAAATGCTACCAAAACTACTTCAGTCATAACTCCAGAGTCGTGTGTGTGTGCACCAAACCATATCCTTCTTACCACAGTCCATAACACAAATAGCATCGAAAAACTCACCAAAGTAAAGTCTCAACTCCATTTACCTCACGGGGGTCGGAAATATTTTAATGCAAAGGGATTATGCTCATGGAGTTGGAAATGTCACAATTAACGCTCAAGTGAGAGAAGGCATTTTAAGGATAAGCTAATAAACAAACATTGATCAAATGATAGGAAAATCAAATATCTAGAACAATTCATCACTCAAACCGTAAACAAACTTTCAGGATTTCATTCTGGTCAAGAGGAAGATCTCATAAACAAACAAAGAGCCGAAAAATACAAACAAATATACACAAACTTTTTTTTCCGAGGCAAGAGACAACATACATTTGATGAAGCTGATGTAGTAAGGCATTCTTTTGATTGGCTGCTATGCAGCACAAGACATCAGTGCAACCAAACTACGTAAATATTGATGATAAATAATGCTCTTACTCTCTTTTTTTTTATGATAAAATGCAAAAGAAAAATGATAACTATCTACAACAAATGGCTCAAATTCAAAAAATTATTCCTAACCAGAAATCATCCCTCAAGCAAATGTCACAAGTCAAGTAAAGGTGCTCCGTCAATGACTCAACCAACTCAAAAGATCAATGAAAGTTAAAAAAGCTGTTTTCTCAACTCTCACACTCACTAAAAATGAAAACCTTAAACTTGGGAATTTTTCTCAACTAAATGTGTCAACAACCATCTTACCACAAGGTCTAGCATGTGCTCAAAAATAACTCTGGAAATCATTTCTTGG